CCTCACGCACGCGAGCACGCACCCACCACGCACGCACGCACGCACGCCCCACACCCACCCACCCACCCACCCACCCACCACCCCACCCACACCCACCACCCACCCACCCACCCACCCACCCACCCACCCACCCACCCACACACACCCACACACACACACACCCACACACACCCACCACACCCACACACCACCCACACACACCCACACACACCCACACACACACCACACACCCACACACACCCACACACACACCCACACACACCACACACACCACACACCCACACACACCCACACACACCCACACACACCCACACACACCCACACACACCCACACACACCCACACACCCACACACACCCACACACACACACACACACACACACACCCACACACACACACCCACCCACCACACACACCACACCACACACCACCCACACACACACCACACACACCACCACACACACCCACCACACACACACACCACCACACACCCACACACCCCACACACCACACACCCACACCCCACACACACCCCCACCACACACCCACCACACCACCCCACACACCCACACACCCACACACCACCACACCCACCCCCCACACCCCCCCACACCCACACCACCCACCCACACACCCACACACCCACACACCCCACACCCCCACACCACACACCCCACCCACACCCACCCACCCACCCACCCACCCACACACCCACACACCACCCACCACCCACCACCCACACCCACCCACACCCACACCCCACACCCACACCCACACACACCCACACCCACACCCACACCCACAACACCCACACCCACAACACCCACACCCACACCCGGCACCCACACCCACACCCACCACGACCCACACGACCACCCACCCCCCACCCCCCACCCCCACCCCCACCCCCACCCCCCACCCCCACCGGACCCCCCCACCCCTCACCCCCACCCCACCCACCCCACACCCCCACCCCCACCCCCCCACCCCCACCCCCACCCCCACCCCCGCACGCACGCACGCACGGCACGGCACGGCACGGCACGGCACGCGCACGGCACGGGGCACGGCACGGCACGGCACGGCACGGCACGGCACGGCACGGCACGGCACGGCACGCAACGCACGCACGGCACGGCACGGCACGCACGCACGGCACGGCACGGCACGGCACGGCACGGCACGCACGGCACGGCAACGCGCAGGCACCCCGACGGACAACGACACGCAAGACGCATCACACGCCACGCCACGCCACGCCACGCCACGGCATCGCACGGTATCGCACTGCACGGGCACGCACGGCACGGCACGGTACGGCACGGCACGGTACGCCCGGCACGGCACGGCATCGCATCGGCACGCACGCACGGCACGCACGCACGACACCACGCACGCACGCACGCCGCCTACACCCCGCACCCACCCACCCACCCACGCCCCGCCCCGCTCCGCGCCACGGGACTCCCCCCGCCCTTTCGCCCCACCCGCCGCCCAAGCCCGCCGCAGCCCGCCCGCCCGCCCGCCCGCCCGCCCGCCGGCCCCCCGCCCCGCCCACGCCCGCCCGCCTTCGCCCGCCCGCCCGCCCGCTTTCGCCGCCCGCCCCCGCCCGCCGCCCGCCCGCGCAGCCGCCCGCCCGCGCCCCACTATGCTTGCCCCCGCCCCGCTTTGCCGCCCGCGGCCGGCGCCCGCGCCCGCCCGCCCCGCGCATCCCGCCGCCGCGCCCGCGCCCCCCGCGCCCGCGCCCGCCCCGCGCCCGCGCCCGCGCCCACACGCACACGCACACGCACACGCACACGCACACGCACACGCACACACTCTCACACACACACACACACCCACACACCCACACACCCACACACCCACACACCCACACACCCACACACGCGCACACGCGCACACGCACACGCACACGCACACGCAGATGCATGCCTAGCATGCAAGTTATGCATCATTCCCAAGGTCCAAGCAAGAGGATTTCCGTGTTTGTTTGCTCCTCAACGCATGTAAAGCAAGGGTTGGCCAAAGGTCGAATCATTTCATGTTTCATATGAAGTAGAAAGCAAGCATCGACACCCCAGGTGAAGCCGTATTTTGCACAATGTCGTGTTAATCCCAGGCCATAGTCCCCGGCTTAGCCGAACACTTTGCGGCTTTCGGGATCAGAGATTGGACGATCCGTCGAGTAAGACACACATGCAGTAGGGAGCGTTCTGGTCCTTAAGCGTCCATGACGGCCAAGAGTCGCTAGTGGCTAGTCACTGGGCGATGGCTCTTTTTGCCACTGAATTCTATGAAATGGGTGGCTTGCCAGGCAGCCTTGCTGATTGCAGCTACCACCTTCCACTGGAGCCTGGAGGCGGTGTTCCTATCGCTGGCCGCTTGGGCGAATAGAAAAGGCAGGGGGTCGTTGAGGGTAAAGAACGGCTTTCGGATGGCTTTAAATGTCAGGCCACGAAGCCGCTACAAACAAGGGGTTCTTCAGTGCAACAAGGGGCCACAAACCGGAAACCCACCACAAATTAGGGGGGTTCCTCATTTTAGGGCTACGACGGAAGTGAATTGCTCGCTTAGTTTGAGTTAGATCTTGTTTTCCCTTTGAAGCGATGGGTGAACATCTGAACGACAACAAGCTGGGTAGCTGAAGGGTAGTGAGGGGCTTCCGTCCCAACCATTAATTCGGTGCGGCCACCTTTTCAAGGCTTCCTTAGTACCAGGTTCTCTTTATGATTTTTTCTTCTGTTTTTCCTATTACAACCTGAGGACTGCGCCTTAGGGGGAAATTACTCAAAATAAGCCAATAAAACCAAACCCTTGGATTTATGGCTCGATTGGGGTCGCCGCCCTTGCCCACCGATTGCAGGCTCTTTGCTTGGGGTATTTCAGGGCTTCTTGCTGGTGCGATAGGTAGGGAATGTCCGTTCCGGGTTTTGGGAATGACCGGGGGATTCCTTTAAAGGATGGATTATAGGGGTCATTCCCTCAGAACCAGCATGTTTTGGAATTGCAGACATGTCCGATCCTTTTATGATTCGATTCCCGTCTCACAGGACGCTTTCCGATTCGGGGATCCCAGGCTCCTTTGCACAAATTGTATGAGCTCACCGACGGGTAAAACGCAGGACGCCCATGAATGTCCTTTGCTAGGGGATCCCAGATGGCTGTGGGTCAAAACCAATGGTAGCATTTTGGGGTAGGTGCAGTCTATTTTGGTTGGATTGGTTGATGTTCACTGGGGACTAACCGGGCTTTTGACCATGGCCATATGGCCGTGTGAGACGCCTCCCACTCAGAATCGGGTTTCCTCTGGCTTTCGGCGGCTTTCGTTACTGGAAAGGCGGGCTCCTGAAACCTGGCCCTGGCATTTCAAGAGGGCGCCCCCTGAAAACTGGTTGGACAGAAGTCGCCGAATGATGTCCACCCCTTTGGGTCAAAATCAAAACTCATCGCATGAGCCACTTGCTCAAAACCGGGGAAGATGAAGGTTAGTCAGGGACAATCCCAACCATAAATAGCTGCGCCCGCCTTCTCCATTCTTTACGTGGTTCTGGGTAGACCAATTTAATACCGGGTTTTGATTGTGAGGTGTCCTTTATACGGGTCCCGTAAAATATTGTGGTTCTTTTGGCCCCCTTTAACAGGGCTTCTTAAAAGATGCATTTTGCAACCATTTGACACATGTTGCTTCTTCCGTAGCAAAATAAAGGGACACCACCATTTACAAGTTGCAATGTTCAGGTGTATAATGTATGGATCCCTGTTTCACCCCCAGCCCAAAGAGGGTCATGCCGTTTGAGGCGACCCGCTACTGGCTCTTCATGGCGGTGATCTCTGTGCGCGTCCTGCGTGGCCAGGGAGCCTTGGGCCGCGCGCTGAAAGCGCAGCCGGCCCAGGTGGCCAGCTGAGCGAGTCGAAGCCGAAAGGTCGAGGAACCGGGAAAACCCACGGAATTCGAAGGCGGCAGAGCCAACCTTTCCAGTTGCTGAAATGCAGATTTGTCTTTTTTCCCCTGTTCATGGTTGTTGGGAAACATTTGACATGTTTGCTTAATGTGGTTTAGTGGGAAATGTCCACTTAACTGCTAAAATTTGAGAATTGTTGCTCCCCTTCCAACGTCAACCAAGTGTTGGTTTCAAAGGTAATTGATCACTACTGGACATATGTCCTCCTTTTTCCTTTGGCCTCAAGCAAACGGAGGCAACTCAGAGGAGCTCGCCCAAGCAGCTGCGGCTCGGATCCTCAAGGGTCTCACCATGGAAGGCCCTGGTTCTTGGTTGGTTATCTAGCGCCGAGGGTTGATGGTGAGGGAAGCATGTTCAGATTCAGTGACAGCCATGGTGAGACCAGCTACCTGACAGCCATGGGAACGTCCAAGCCTTGAGCCTCGTCAGACGGAAAAACTTCTGGCGAGGCGAAAGCGCGCTGTGGGATCGCCTCGATGGTGGGAAAGCCGAAAATGGAAACCAAACATGCTTAGGTCCCCCATTTTAGGAAACATGGTGCGGTGGGGTGGGTTCGGGTTGGGGGGGGTGGAATGGGGTAGCTTCAGGTGGGGCTGGGGAGTGGGGTGGGGTGGGGGGTGACTGCTGATGTTGGTGCTGGATAAGCAACAAGTGCTTAGTTTTCTCCAAAAGCAAACAACGATATGGATGAGTGGAGTGTGTCCAGATTTGGACTCTTGCACTCCTGAAGTTGGTTCCGGGCAGATTATGGCGAGAGGAAGGTGTTGTTTTGCGGGCTTCTTACTGCAATTCAACCAGATGGAATTGGATTGAAAGAGCAACACCCACCAGTGTGGTTTATCCTGCCGTTGCTATGCCTGTCAAAGCAAGGAACTGCCAGCTGAGCCGTTGGTGCTTTTATTTCCCTCCCTCCCCCCCTCCTCCCCCCTCCTCCACCCCCCTCCCCCCCCTCCCCCCCCCCAGCTGCCATGATGCTCTTCACGTCTTGGCAGTTGCTGACATCCGAATCCGCCGTAAGGCCGCGCGTCCGATTCGTCAGGGAGAGGAGGTGGCGCAAGCGCTGGAGCAATTCCACGCCCGGGGCCCAGGGGCGCCGAGGGCGGCGGTTCTGAGAAAAACGGAGCTTTGAGGAGAGACGCCACTTCCATTTCGTGAAGAATATTTTTTTGATGTTCCCCTCTTGGTTTTAAAAGGAATCTATCACTACTTGTTTTTTCTCACTCGAGCAAATGGATGAATTGGGGTTAGTTTGAGGGGCGAAATGATTTCAAGCTGCTTCCTCGAATCATCTCGCCAACATGGGGTTTTCAAGTACTAAGTCGCCCAAGCCTCTGTTCCAATCATTTGAGTCCTTCAGATCCCTTCCAAGAACCCCCATGATAAAGGTGCTAGCGCCCTGGGAAGGAATGGCGCTCTGGGATCTGAGGGAATGGGACTTTGAGCAGAGGTGCTGAGTTGGAGCCTTACCTTGAAACACATGGCCGTGGTTCAAAACCGCTTTGGGATCCCAGTTTGGGATAGGTGAGTTCACCACCCAGGTCTTGGAACCTGTTTTAGTGGGGATTGGTTGATGTTCACTTGGGAGTGCGGGGTTTTGACCCATGGCCACATGTCAAAGTCAGGGTCAAGATCTCCAGTTGACAGATGGAGGCACGTCCCCACTCTGGTCATCACCCCAAAAATGAAGCGCTGTCTCCCAGTTCAACTAGGTATCTGCTTTTTGTGGGGTAAAAAGACATCATGGTTGCTCCGAGTCAAAAGATGAAGACCCCCTCGCAGAAAGCTGTGGTTCTCTTTGGTTTCCTAGCAACCTGTGTTCAAGGTGTCTTTCAAGGGTTTGAGTGGAGCTTTCATACACGAACTGGGCCAAGATATTTGTCCATCCCCCTTTGGCACGAAAGGGAACGCTAAACTCCAGTGACTGTTTGTGGGGGATCCGGGATCATGCCAAAGTGCACCCCGGGGTAGGCCAATTCGCAATGACGGCTAATTTCGATGAACCTTTCCTGGTCAGAAGCCTATCGGAACTTATTCACCCTGGAAATAGATATTGGATATGCTTTCCCTTCTGATTCCCTGACAAATGCTTCTGGGGCCGTCCTTAAATAGAATTACAAATTTAAATTCTTAACATATTTAATCGTATAGGTCCCTTCTTTATTTCTTTCCTCTATTTTCACAAGAAATAAAAGCTAAGGATTCTGGATGGCGTTTCACGAGCCAAAGCGAAACGAAGCTCTGCAGGCTCAGGAATCAGCTGTGTTGAGCCCCTTCAAGTGAAGAAATCAGGATGGCAATCTTGGAATCAAAGAACGTGGCGATTTCTCCCCCCCCGCCCCCGACCATATCCTAGATATGGGTATGTCTTTTTAGACCCCCCTTCCCCCCAAAAAAAAGAGAAGGGTGGTGTCGTTTCTAGTTGTCCTTTAAAGCCAACCAAAAGACCAACAGAGGGGAATCCCAAAAAGACACCCATGATGAAACCTTTGCCACTCCAAACCGTGAATGGCAGAGATGTCTTGGCAGAGCTTAAGCGGGGAAGCGACTGGAATCGGCTGAAATCGAGACGTCACCACAAAAGGAAGAAAACGTTACACGGGGCAATGATGTTCCTAACCACTTCCATGTTTCGAGAAACCGCTGATTTCGTCTTCCCTGATGGTCTTTTAGCGGAACATGACCATGACTGCATGCTTGTGTTGTGGCATCTTCTTAACGGACGTGCGTGGCTCCGCTCTCTGACGCCGCCCAATCAGGGCTTCCGACGTGTGTGGTTTAAAGGACCCAAACGCAACAAACACATACAAACCACACACACACATATTGCACACATGTCAACTTAGAAGGCAAGCAGCTCAAGTTTGGGAAGGCCAATTTCAAGTGACCTTCCTGGTGGGGTGAGCTTGCTGTTGGCCAGGTGCCTGGGGTGTCAACGCAGTGGCCAATACCTTGGCCTTTGGAGGTCGTCGCTTAGCATCAAAGCGGGGTAGGGACTCGATTTGTCGAAGGACTTGCGACTTGCTTGAATGACTTCTGGAAAGTCCTCAATTGTTAGTGCCAAGAGTTGCATTCATATACAGATGAGAGTCAAATGAAACGCTTCGACGAACTGAAGCCCCTTTGAAGCTCAAAAAGCCTGACCTGCACCTTAGCAGGTTATGAGCCCAAGGTAGCTGAAAGGACATGAGGTCCAGGCGCCGCAATGCTCAGCTAGGAGCTCAAGGCGCAGAAGGAGCTGGAGGCGATGGTGGAGAAGGAGAACCTCTAGCGGTGGAGGACGGAGATCCTCATGAAGGAGAACAGGAACAGGGGGAGGGATCGCAGAGGGCACCTGCCCCGGAGAGGGAGAATGTGCAGCCGGCACCTGGGTTGGAGTTGATTGGACAGGAGATGGTGGTGAAGCCGCCCGGCAGTGGAAAAGGGTCAGCCGCGACCAGAGCTCGACCAGCTGGAGTCGAATCGGGTGGTGATGGAGCAGGTCGGGAAGTTGCCGGCGAGCAGGGACCCGGGACCCCAAGCTCGTCAATGGTGCAACGGAGGCTGTGGTCTACGGCATCGAGAAACCCGTGGGCGACGCCGGGGGCGGTGGAGCTACAACCAGGAGGTGATCAAGATCTTCGGGGACCAGCAGGGCAACCGGAGAGCTATGGGCCTCTTTTTACCCAGGAGCAGCTGGAATATTTGAAACGCTGGGATCGACCCGGCGGGTTGGTGAACTTGGGGGAGATGCGAGATCCTCCGCTTAGGCGGCCAGACTTCTTGCCCCGAGAGCAACCTCAGCTTCTGGACGCGGGAGCGGGGGATGGTCAATTGCAGAGGCCAAGAGAGGTGGATTCCATGAGGTTGGAGATCAAGCGGCTCTTGGAGGAGAACAAAAGATTGAAGGCGGGAAACAACTCGGGGGAGACCTACACGACGCCGGACCCGCCCAACGGCAAGGTCGAGGAGGACGACAAGCGGGAGTCCTCGGAGGAGATGATTCGGGACGATGAGAAGGGCGATCACTTGGCCATCATCTTGAAGCTCATGGAGGGCATGCAGCAGATCCAGAAGAAGCTCCTCGCGGGTGGTTCCAGGAGCACGGAGGAGGAATCGGTGGAGGTGGTCAAGGCTGGAGCGGTGGAGTTGCCGATGCTGGCGGAGCTCAATGCAGAAACCAGCTCGATTGACTTGCAGGACTGGTTGACGTTGATCACTCCGGCGATGTCAGATTTGTCGGAGACAAGCCAGGAATGGTGGGAGCTGGTCCTGCAGGAAGCCAAGCGGTGGTACGGCGACTACATGCAGGAGACGCCGCTCAAGCGCCTCACCATGGTACCAAAGGTGGGAGAGTCGCAAAGCTCAAGGTGGAGACGAGTGGAGCGGAAGGCGGTCACCCTTCTGATCAAGGCCGTTCCGGATGCGGTGAAGGACGAGGTCGTGGCTACGAAAAGCCTCAACGCCTTTTCCTTGGTGTGCCGGCTGATGATGATGTACCAGCCGGGCGGTATAGCAGAGCGGGCGGGAATCCTGCGCAACCTGGAGCAGCCGGGAGAGGCGACCAACATCCAGGCTGCGGTCACGGGCATCAGACGATGGCTGAGGTGGAAGAGACGTGCGGAAGAGATCGGAGTCTCGCTCCCCGATCCCTCGGTGTTGAATCGAGGTCTTCATCGGTTGACGAGGAAGGTGTTGGAGGGGAACAGGGATCTGAACTTCAAGATCAACCTGGCGAAGTCGCAGCTGCAGGTGGACACTGTTCCAACCTATGCCACGATCGGGGTGTACTGTGAGCACCTCTTGTCGGAGCTGGAGCAGCTGGTGCACACGGAGAAGAAGTCAGCCCCGGGAGAGATCAAGGCGAAGAAGATCGAGGGCACCTACGCGGAGGATAAAGGGGGTAAGGAGGACTTCGTCAAGGAGAAGAAGCCCTGCCGGTTCTTCCTCACCGATCAAGGGTGCCGGAGAGGAGCACAATGTACCTTCAGCCATGAAGCCCGAGACGGACGCCCCAGATGCTATGTGTGTGGCGCTACAAGCCACTTTGCGAAGGACTGCTCGAGGAAGATCGCCCCCGAGCAAGCGGGGAAGAAGGGCTTCAAACCGGGCGCTCCGAAGGTCGCAAAGGTGGAGACCGAGAACACCATGTCATCGACGTGCGAAAAAGGAGAAGCGCAGAAGAGCTTGGGCGGGCAAGAAGAGGTCTCGCCGAAGGGAGCAAAAGGAGAGGCGGACGCGTTGCAGAGCGTCTTGGAGGAAGCTGGGAAGATGCTCAGATCATTGACGGTGGCCCCGACAGGCAAGATCGGCAGGGACGCCAAGCTGGAGGATCTTCAGAAGCAGCTGAACGAAATGAAGATCCGGAAGTTTGGAGAGGTCAAGATCTCGAAGATTGACTTCCGGACGGAGATGGGCCTTCTGGATTCGGGGGCGACGCATGCCATGAGAGGCATGAGAGAAGGCGACGACAGGAGCGACCTGGAGACAATCGTGGTGGAATTGGCCGGAGGCCAGAGAAAGGAGCTCTTGATGACCCCGGGGAAGGTCATCATCCATGAGGAGGCGGGCGTGCAGCCGATAGTGCCCTTGGGACTTTTGGTGGACAAGTTGAATTGCGAGGTCACCTGGACTTCCTGGGGAGCCTGCCAAATGAAGCATCCCACGTTGGGGGAAATTCCGGTGCGGATGAATGCTGGGTGCCCGGAGGTGGATCGGGATTTGGCCCTGTGCTTCATCGACATGCTAGAGCAAGTGGAGGTGGCAGGAGGTGCGAGATTGAGGTCATCTTCGGCAACTTCGAGAGGAGAAAGGGGCGTCATGGAGGCGCTGGCGAGGAGAGAACGTGTATTCGATGGGGTGCCAGCTGGGGTGATGGCCAACGTCGTGAGCGAGCCGGCGAGCGACCTGAAGGGGATCCCATTGAATCGGAGGAGGAGAAAAAGGATGCAGCGCGGGTTTGTCCTTCACCTTTATGCGGGCGAGAAGGAGGGCTACACGTTGCAGAGGGCCCTGAAGGAGGTTGGGGGTGACACTACTAGGCTGGTGGAAATTGACCTCAAGAGAGGGGACAATCACGACATGTTGACGGGCCCACTATACCCGTCGTTGTTGAGGGCAGCCTTGGACGGGAACATCCTCGGAGTGGTGGGTGGCCCCAACTGCAGGACTCGGAGCGTGCTGAGACACTACCCGTTGCCAGCCGGGAGGCCAAGGCCGGTGAGGGGGGTGGAGCCGGAGAACTGGTTTGGGTTTCCTTGGCTGGATGAGGAGGAGAAGAAGCAGGTCTTCGAGGACGATGTACTGCTCTACCGCATGGTGATGCTGTACTGTGTGGCGGAGGAAGCTCGACGAGGCAGGAAGGTGACAACGACGGCCAGATCAAAGGTTGCGTTCTTGCTAGAGCAGCCGGAGGCGCCGTGGTACGTGCCGGAGTGCGGATCGTGGTGGCGAACCAGGAATTACGTAGCCTTCCGAGATCAACACGGGCTTCTGGAGCACGGTTTCAAGCAGGGAGACTACGGGGGGTTGGCGGTGAAGCCGACGCGTATCGTCACTGACTTGGAGGTGGATTTGCCCCCAGGAGGATCCTCATCGGCAACTACCAGAGAGATGGCAGCGGTGGCAGACTCGGCGGCCTTGTCAAGGTGGGCTCCGGGATTCATGAGAGAGGTGGCGAGATCTTTGCAACAGGAGGTCTTCGGACGGCCGGCTCATGTGAGAAAGCTAAGCTGGTTTGAGCACGTCCGCCATGGACATGTGCCATTTCGCCGGGACTGCCGAGTATGTCAGGAGGCGTCGGCAAGGGGGAAGCGGCATGCAAAAATCGCCTATCCCTACGCGGCGGTCTTGAATGCGGACTTGAGTGGCCCATACCGGGCTGGAAAGGACGTTGGGGATGCGACCCAGAAGTACTTCCTCATCGGCTCATTCACTTGGCCTGCGGAGGAGGACCAGACAAAGTTCTTCGACGGCAAGGAGAAAGAGGAAGACGGAGAGGACTTGCCAGTCCTGGAGGAGAAGAAAGCGGAGGGTGAGGATCCAGCGTGCGAAAAAGGCGAGCTGGATGATCCAGAGGGAGATCCGGAGAAAGAGGGAGAGAGGGTAGATGGTGACGGCCAGGAGGAGGATCCGGAGGACCGAGCCAGGAAGGAGTGTGGGGAGCCAAAGCCATTGAGGCTGATTGTCAAGGCGATCTCCCTACCCGACAAGAAGGCAAAGACGGTGCTTCAAGGGCTGCAGGACATCTACATTCAGTTGAAGAGGGAAGGTTACCCGGTCCAGAGATTGCACACGGACCGGGGAAAGGAGTTCCTGAACCACGACCTGAAGAAATGGTGCTTGGTGAGGGAGATCGAGAAAACTACAACGAGTGCAGACTCGCCGCAGGAAAGCGGTCGTGCGGAAGCTTGCATTGGCAGTCTGAAGAGCCGCATGAGGAGGCTGCTGAAGGGAGCGAAGATGGATGTGAAGTTTTGGCCAATGGCAGCTCGATACGCAGTGGTGGCCGAAGAAAAGAGGCAGCGGAACGAGCTGATGCCAGCGGCATTTGGGGAGGAGGTCTGGGTCCCAAGGAGGTCATGGAAGAGAACTCAGGATCCATTTGGGCCTACCTATGAGAAGGCGCGCTACTTGGCCGTGGTGAAGGAGGTCACGAGCGGGCATGGAATCTTGCGGGAAGATGGCAAGATTGAGGTGGTCTCCCGGATAGTGAGAGGGGTGGTGGAACCAGAAGATCGGCTACTACCGGAGGAGGCCGAACCGCATCATCCGAGGAGACGGATCCGGGGAAAAACCCATGTGGGAGAGGAAAAGGACCGGGAGCTTGGCGACCTCCGCACGCTTCGGGCGGCGATTGAGGAGGAGATGGAAGCCATGGACCAAGACGGTGGAGAAGTTTTGGGAATCACGGCGGTGAAGATCAAGGAGATGAAGTTGGCGGAGGAGGCCCTGGTAGAAGAAGCGATGGGTGAAGAGGAGAAACAGGTCCTTCAAACCCGAATCGCAAGTCACGCGGAGGTGATCAAGAACAAAGAGGAGTGGCTGCCAGCGATCCAGGCCGAGGTGGACTCGCTCTTGGATGGGAAGCAGGCAGTGAGGAGAGTCACGAACGAGGAGGCGCGAGCACTTCTAGGGAGCCCGGACTACAAGGTGGACATCATGCCTGGCAAGATGGTTCCGACGGTGAAGGCGCCCAACGGTAAGAAGAAGTGCAGGATCGTCATCTGCGGGAATTACGCGGAGGGAGGAGGTAAGGACTCCGACGAGTCGTTGTACGCTGGAGGATCCGACACGATCTCCATCAGGACGATCACGAAATACGCGGCGGAGCAAGATTGGGAGGCAATGGTCCTGGACATCAAGACCGCGTTCCTCAACGCCCCGCTTCAGGAGAAAGAGACGGAGGGTGAGCCGAAGAAGATATTGCTGATGAAACCTCCGTCCATCCTCATCTCCCTGGGCTTGTGCAAGAAAGACGAGTACTGGGCGGTGGATAAGGCTCTGTATGGGCTTCGCCAGTCGCCGAGGAGGTGGTCTGTCTTTCGGGACCAGAACATGCGAGAAATGAGGTGGGAAGAAGGAGGTGGTTGCTACTGGTTGGCCCAGACGGTCTCGGACCCGAACGTCTGGAAGATCATGAAGGGGCGGGACTGGGAGGATGAGCACGGCGAGCTCGTGGGCCTGATGGCAATCTACGTGGACGACATCTTGGCTTACTCGGGAGGAGGAGTCTTGCGAGAACTGTGCAAGGTGATCCAGAGGAAGTGGGAGACGAGTGTTCCGGAGTTTGTGAAGAAGGGTGAGAAGGTGAGGTTCTGCGGTATGGATATAAGCCGAACGGAACGTGGGTATCACCTCGGGCAGTCGTCTTACACGAAGGAGCTCCTCAGTCGGTATAAGGACGGTGGCTATGGGTCGGTGATCCCCATCGCCAAGGACATGACGGAGATGCCTGAGGAGCCGAACATCTTGCCGCACGAGGTACAGGCAGCACAGAAGGCCGTGGGGGAAGTGTTGTGGCTGACTACAAAGACAAGGCCCGACCTCATGTTTGCGACGAGCAGGATGTCATCGGCGGTGACGAGAGCGCCCAGGTGGGCATTGGAGATTGCAGCCCAGGTCAGGAAGTATCTCCTGAAGACCACGGACATGGGTTTGTGGTTTGATCGGGAAATGAATGCGGGGGCTACAGGAATTGCCGAGAGGAAGATGGAGGTCTACACGGACGCATCATTTGCTCCAGGAGGTGGACTAAGCCATGGATCGGTGGTGGTGCTGTGGAACGGCGCCCCGCTGGCGTGGAAGAGCTCGAGGCAAAGCAGCCCTACGTTGTCAACCGGAGAGGCAGAGCTGATGGAGTGCCTGGAGGGCATTGTCATGGGCGAGAGCGTGGAGGCCCTGATCTCAGAGATTGAAGAGGCGATGGGCTACACAAGAGGCAGTTGTTATCCGACAGCTCGGCAGCCATCGCCATTACATCAGAGGCTGGTGGGAGCTGGAGAACGAGGCATCTGCGGGTCAGAGCGTTCAACTTGAGGTGGAGGCTCATGGATGAGAGCTGGTCGATCCACCACGTGATGGGGGAAACCATGCTCGCGGATCTCGGGACCAAGGCCCTCACGGGTAGGCGCATAGATGATTTGCGTCGACTATGGAGGCTGGAGCCGTTGGAGGAAGTTACGGAGGAGATCGGTGCGAGGCAGGAGAACGTCAAGGAGGCGAATGGTCATGGAGACTTGGAGAGCATCACGGGCATGGTTAAGGTGATGACCCTCGCGAGCATGATTACAAAGGTCCAGGCGGTGAAGGAGAAATTGGAGGGCGAAGGAGACGAAGAGCCGGAGGACACCCTGAAAGTCCTGATGACGGTGGTGAGTATCATGTCCATCATCCTGTACAAGCTGGTGGAACTGGTCTGTCAGAAGGCGATCATGCCCCGGATCAGAGCCATGAGATCAGGCGGGGAGCCGGCGACGCGTGAAGGCGAGGAGGAGGAGGAGATTGAGATTGAGGAGACATCATCGACAATTCGGAGAACGGTTGGCAGGAGTGGAGATGGGACGTCGGGGAGTACGTCTTCTACCGGAGGTGGGCCTACGCCCAGGAGTATGTCATGGAGCGAGGGGGGACCTACGCCACAAAGTGCGTCTTCTACCAGAGGTGGAGGGAGCAGGCAATTGGGAGCCACGCCCAAGCCGAAATCCAAGCCGATGCCGAAGCGCAAGGGAGACGGTAAGGGGCGAGAGGCGAGTTGGAGGCCGAGGCAGCATTTGGTGCTTCCGGGAGAAGGAGATCTGCCTACGGGGCCGTTGTTGTATAGGACCAACCATGGAGAAAGGTACCACACCTTCATGGATTGCTATGGACTGCAGAACGCCACGCGGATTCACGAGATGCTTCCGTGCCCAAGGTGCTGCACCCCGGACTTCAGGAGGCTGGTGACCAGCCTTCCGGGACCCATCTTCTTCAGGGGGCTGGGCTACTATCACTCGTTGATGTGCTGCGCGGGGGGCGAGCCGGTGCGCATCACCCTCTGCGGCTACTGCAGGACGGCTTGAACTGAGGGGGCTTGAAGCCGGTTTTTGGACATGCAGCACCGCATTGCAAAGCTGCATGGGAGGAGTGCCAAGAGTTGCATTCATATACAGATGAGAGTCAAATGAAACGCTTCGACGAACTGAAGCCCCTTTGAAGCTCAAAAAGCCTGACCTGCACCTTAGCAGTTAGAATGGGGTTCTAATAGGTACTTTACAACTATATGTTGTGATGATTTTTAAACAATCATTTAGCCCATGATACTTCACAGGGAGACTCTGATGCCCAGCCTGCCCAGTTGCATTTGTGTTGCTTAGGGCCATGTTACGTCGACCGAGCACAAAAAAGAGCCTTGCCAGCCTTGCTGGCAACAAAGGAACCCAAAGGGGCCCTTGGCTGCCCTTTGACCAAGACCCCTACCTCAGGGGTGCCAGATGTGCTGAAAGCACCTAGCTGATCAGTCAGGTCGTGAATGTACAAACCATAGTACAATCCATACATGTACATGTATACGTACACGCAGCATTTGAGAATGCACGTCTGTGTGCTACATGGGATCCACATCCTAGCCAAACAATGTGAGAAGATGTTCTGGGCTGTGAAGGACAAACGTGGAGGATTAAACACGTCGGCGCCGGTGCACCCTTTGGCTAGTGTCCACTTTGGATCAATCCAAATGCCCCTGACAGAGGGGGCCGGTTCACAGAGGATCTTGAAAAACGCGACACGGGAAGAGGCTAGTTAATCACCATGATTTAGCAAACGTGCCATGGTCAAAGGACCTTTTACTTAGGCTTGGTAGGAATGGTCTTGGCCTTTTAGCTTGTTGAGGGGACCATGACCGTGACCCACACAGGGAGTTTTGACCATGGCACAGAAGGCAATAAGAAACGGACCGTGAACTATGAGCGACTATGAGACTGTGAGATATTCTGAGATGACTTTTTGAGCAATCGCTCGCTCTACATCTCTCCGCGGGTGGCTGGTCGTGCAGGATTATGATTTGTTTCAGTACTGGAATGCCGTGTCATGCTGCAAGCTAGAGGTCAATCGTGCGATGAGGCAGCCCAAAGACAATGATCGTTTACGGATCTGTTGCTGCTCTTTGACTTGCTGGTGCTCAGTAGGGAATGTGGGAATGAACCCAGGGATTCCCTCAAAGGAAACCACCAGTTTAGGGGTCATTCCCTCATTCCCTGCTGGGCACCAGCAAGTTGAAGTACAAGTTTGGTGCCAGAGTTGCCTTCTAGGGGGGTGAAGTTCTTGCCAGTCTTAAGTGGACAACTCTTGAGAGAGCGCCCTTCTGCGGCCTTTTGCGCAGTCGTTGGACTTTGCAACAGTCACCGTGAAACGCACATTTAGCTGTCCAAATGTTAGCCGAGGTTTGCAAAGGTGAACCTATGAGTTCCATGTCCTTTGGGGGACAGGGTCCCCTACATTTTTCCCTGAAAGGTGTTAAACCTCCCCTGTTTTAATTGGAATGATCTCTTTTGTTAGTTCCTGGTGATGTTATTCGGATGCCCAAAGCTGGACATCCGGAAAGCTCGGGCGTTGGACGTGAGCTTAGGACTCAGTGGACCTGTTGTTCCTGCATCCGATGGCCGGGAAGCCAAAAGCTCAAAAGTTGCACGGATGGATAAAACCGGGTGCAAGTCCTGCAAATGGGTGTGCCTTTTTTGGCGGGACCCTTCAAAAATGGTGGCTTTTCCTTTTGGCCTCCCTTAAAAAAATAGGGGTTTGTCTTTTTGTCTTGGAGACCCTTCCAAAATGGATGCTTTTTCTTTTGGGCTCGTTTTGGAAAAAAGAAACCAACGAAAAAAAAAGAAAAAGGGGGTGTCCTCAAGAAAAATCGGCACGCCCCCCAAAAAAAAATAAAGAAGAAGAAGAAAGTCTGCGTGGCCTGGCCCAGAAGGTTTTTCTCCGGAGATTCCGGAATCTCTGAGCGCCTCGGAGCTTTTTGGTGCAGGACTTGGATCAGGATGGGTCCCGGTGAAACTGGGCACACCTCTAGGGCTTGATTCCTTTTCCATTCTTTTCAACCATCGTTCTTTTCAAAAACCAACTCTTTCCCTTTGGATTCTGCTGGTTTTCTGAACAGAATGATCCCTGGAAAGAATGGGGAAGTGTCCCCTAGAACACCCCGTTTGGAACACCATAGCGACCTCAAAGGGGATCTGGTAGATCTGGGCTTGGCGATTTCCGCCTGCAGGATTTGGCTCCTGTCTTGGGGATGAATTGTCATACCTCGGCGATAAATATATGGAACGGTTGTTTCTTTTGAAAGGCTTCCTTTCAACGCCCAACGGTGGTGTTGGGGGCTCCAAATTTTAGCATGCTCTTCCAGCAGCCCTGTTGTCCTTTTGGATATCTTGTTGTTCTTTGGGATTGTGAACACCCCACATGCTCCGTCGCAGTAGTGAATTGATACCACAAGCTCAATGCAGTGCGTTGCATTTATGGACGTCATCCAATAACTTCATCTTTAGAGCAAGACCTGTGGAAGAAGGGTGCTGAGGTCTCTCGATCCGAAATGATGATTCTGTTGCGACATTTGTTTCATGGACACCAATCCCGTTTCTTTTTTTGGATTGGCCCAGGCGATAGCCGAAACACCGAAATACTTGGACCGCGGTTGGTCGAAGCCGTGCTTTCAGGAGGAAAAGGTCCAGAGCAAAGAACCGAAGCGTCGGGGGTACTGGAGACTTCGGTTTTGACTAGGGCTTGAGGCCGTTCCCCGACGAAATCCCTGTTTCAAAAGGAGGTTCGGGTGATGAGTTGCTCAAGCATGGAACCTGACACATGATTGGCCATCCCCCCATTTCGAACGACAGGAGCGCCTTGGAGAGCCTGTGGGTTCTTGCCAGCACAGAGACTCATGCAAGATGGTCCATTTCAAAAACAAAAAACTTGTTGTTTCTGGGAGAGTAGCTAGTCTGGACCAGATTGCCACGCTGCTCTTTAACTACATGTTGGCATACTTATCCGTAGATTACGCATACTCATTTAGAGGCCACAAGCATCTTGGGGTTTCTCTACCTTGTACTTGGGGGTAGCAGGGATGATCACAAGCCTTCAGAAAGTTTAGACAACCATGATAAGGATTCCTATTCAGGAAACCATGACCGTTGCCCACAGATTCGCAGTGGTTCACAGTGTCGACAATGGTGCAGGCGCATGTTTTCCTCAAAATTGGGCTTTAGGTTTCCCTTTAAACCTTTCAACATAGGGGCTGCATATTTCAAGAAGTTGAAGCAAGGGTAGCTGCTTTCTAGGGCTGTGCTTACACAAAAATTAACATACCCAGCTTGTGTACATGATGGCTTCTGGGGTGTACCTGGATGGCCCCGCATAAGCCATTCCCAACCACTGACTTTGAGGTAAGAAGGACAGTAAATCCTTATTGCCATGGTCATGGCTCCAATAGTAGAAATGCTTATCATCTCTGTGTACTTGGAAGACCAATTTCTTTTTGAAGGGGCCCCCTGTCAGGTGCCATGTTAGTGGGAGGGATGGTATTTTTTTTAATTTATTTTTCATAGGCGAACACTTCCGAGTCAGGCTGGGAACTGCCTGCTGCTGGAGCGCTTGCTACAAGGCGCAGAAGAAATTTGAAGCCGAAGCGCTGTGTCTCACTAAACTCCCGCAGGAGTTTTTGGGTGTCTGGGAGCCCAAAGGGAAGCCAAAGGTAAAAACGAAGGGGACACTTGACGGCCCGTGTTTTGGAAACAGAACAAACATGTCGCCCCAGCAAGTGGTCCAGCGTGGTCCTTGAGGCTGCAACGGTCACAGGCTCTTTCTTCAATTGGGTGTGTCTCTTTTGGGGCGCAACTCCCTTCCTTTTGGTTCCCCCATTATGGGAAACCAGCCATTTTGGAGGTTCCCCTATTTCGAGACAACCCCCTTGCTAAGTTGGATGGCGGAGGGGCTCAAAATTTTCACTGTCCGAGTCTTTGCTCTTGAAAAATCATGAAGCTTCAGTGGTGGTCTGGCTCAAAATTCAAGAGCTAGGGCAAACTGCAGGGTGAGGTCTTTGCTTCCATTAAGGGGCCATTTTGGGTACCATCTTTTGAGCCACGGAAATCGGTTGGACTTGTTCTGACCAATCCACTCAGATAGTGAGTATTGCCGACGGATGTCCAGAAATCGGACGCAGCACCCCCACCTTAAATATGTGCCAGTCTGCCGAGAGGCCGTACATTTCGGGCTTGAGAAGAGTGTAGAGTCTATACAGGAATGGTAGGCATGTCTTGTACTCTTTGAAACGAAGCTGTTCGGGGCGGCTGTTCTTGAGAACCAGAATAGCTTTTGGGCCAATTGGTTTCTTCGCAATGACCCTCCTTCCGATGGAACCTGAGAGGTGCAAGAGGGCGATGTTCTTGCAAAGACTCAACCTCCATGTCGGCAGGGTAGACAACTAGCTTTGCGCAATGGATCACCTGTCAAACTGCAGGGCTGCACATCTCGATTGGATTGCTGGACTTAACCCACACCTTCTTGCCCTCATATGGCGTCCTTCATTTTCCCGTTTGACCATCTGAACTGTTTGCAGTTGGGTTTACGTTTCAACACCGGGGCATGCGACATTTGTGTGCCTGTGCATGCGATTGCATGTGAGTGTGTGTGTGTGTGCGCGTGTGTGTCGAAGCGCGTTTTGGGCCCTTCCCAAAGAATGAAGACCAAGCAGTTGGCTGGTTTGTTCAGCCAGGTTCTAGCCACCAGTTCAAACGCCTACTCGATATCTCCAGTTTGCCCCAAGACGGGTGGTTTCCCTTTGCCTTACCTTTACACCCTAAAAGGAGCACCCCCGAGGAGCAACGCCCTATACCAATGCCAAAAGAAGGGGATATTCTTTTTGACCTTCAGAAACCCTCGCTGTCCAAACGGATCCCATGGGAAAGCAGGTGCTGTGCCCAGCAAATCTCGGACCGCGTCATAGCACTCTTGAGGCAATGACCTGCAACCTGTGGAAATGTCCAACCCATGGAAGAATAATTAAGCCACTTGTTGATTGTAGAGGTGCTCCGGATCGTTTTTTTGGTAAGTCCGTCAGGTTTATAGAGGTGTACATAATCATGGAGTCCTCCTCGTCGTTGGTCGCATGTCCATAAATAGCTGCGGCCGCCTTCTTAATTCTTCACATGTTTCTGCGACGACCATTTGGATACCGGGTTTTGATTTTGACTCACCTAGTGTCAGAGAAATGCGGAGCCCACGGCTTGCGAGATCCGATTTTGAGACAAAACAATTACTTTGCTTCGAGCAATCCCCACCCTCCACTCACGAGCTTACGACCATTACGACAAATTCCTCCACATCCTAGGGACTTCGACTCCAAATTCCAATCAACCCCTTCCCACTGATAATTTGCCGCGCAAGAATGGCAAAGCACTGCTTCAAGCCCATTTCAAGCTTATTGGCGAGCAACAACTACTTGCACGTGGCCGATCACGGCGGCAAGGCACCAGGGTTATGCATCTGCAGAAGCCACCGCCAGCCCCGCGCTCTGCAGAGCACACGCGCGGGCACCAACAGCAAAACCAAACTGGCGAGCTGCTCTGGCGGGATACTGGCGGGATCCACTGGCGAATACTGGCGAGCCCCTCTGGCTCGATATTGGCCGGATACTCGGCAGGATCCACCGACAAGGGATACTCAGCGGGATACTCGGCGGGATCCGCTGGCGAGCTGCTCTGGGATACTCAGCGGGATACTTGCCAGATTCCACTGGCGGGCTGCTGTGGTGGGATACTCGGCGGGATCCACTGGCTGGCGTGATACTTGATGGGATCCACTCACGAACTACTCCCATTGGCGGGCTGCTCTGGTGGGATACTCGGCGGGATCCACTGGCGAGCCGCTCTGGCGGGATACTTGGCGGGATCCACTGGCGAGCCGCTCTGGCGGGATGCTGGGCGGGGGCCGGTCCGGCGGGATACTCGGCGGGATCCACTGGTGAGCCGCTCTGGCGGGATACTCGGCGGGATCCACTGGCGAGCTGCTCTGGGATACTCAGCGGGATCCACTGGCAAGCAGCTCTGGCGGGATACTGGCTGGGATCCACTGGCGAGCCTCTGGCGGGATACTCGGCGGGATCCACTGGCGAGCTGCTCTGGCGGGATACTGGGTGGGGGCGTGGTGTAGAAGCATCGCAAACGCGGATTCCAACATAAAATCTAACAACCCCTTCCTGTCGGGTGGGGAAAAAGACACGGCCTTGTGCAGGGCTCCTTAAAAGATACATTTTGCAACCATTTGAAACATGGTTTTTTCCACCAAAATAAAGGGACGCCACCATTTACAAGGCAATGTTCAGGTGTATAATGTAAGGATCCCTGTTGTGCAAGGTGTCAAGAGCCGTCCCAAGTTGCCAGCGCCTCGGTGTGTTTCGCTTCGTGCCCTCGGCGTGCGTCTTCCCTTAGTTTTGAGAAACTCACGAAGTTGTTCGGGTCCTATTTGGAGACAAACTCAATAGTTGCCGCTTACTTCAGTTAGAGCCACGGCAGGGGAACTAGCCCGAGTTGCCCTGGTTGTGACCATGGTTATAGCTCACCAACTTCATCAAAAGGGACTTCTACGTGCCACGAATAAGCTGGCAGCCAAGGGAACCTCCCTTTAAACATCAAATTTATTCGCAGCGGTAGCTGGGACCCACTGGGTCTCTTGGAAAGCACGAAAATAAACATTGCCTGTTGGTTGCCGCTAGATGAGTTTCCTGGGTGATGGGGTGGTGTTTTTGCGGAAGCCGTTGCGGACCAATCAACACTGTCAATCAAAACGGGGTGCCAATTTGGGTATATATTTTCAATTGAGGACCCGGTGAGCCTGTGGTGTGTCCAGCAACCATTTGGCCTGTCAAATTCGTTGACATCTAGGGGGGCGGGGGTTCTCGAAATGGGGGACCCCTTTTGTTTCGTGTTTCAGCAGAAGTCAAAAGAATACCCCCCCCCCCCCAGTCTTCTGGTCATGCTGAGAGACCCCAATTTGGGTTCTCTTGAAAAGCCAATTGCTGCTTCCTAGGATGTCTTCCATGAGTGCTTGAGCTCCATGCTGTGTTTCGGACAAACCCGTTTGACAGATGGCCATAGAATTTTAGTGGGTGAACACCCCTTTGATGGGAATCCAGGATGAATCAAGCCCTGGTTGAAATATAGGGTGGGTCCGGATCCTTCGCTTTCTGACTCCAACATGAGTGCTGGACACAAACCTTCGCACAAACCCCATGATATCCACACAGTATTCAATTGAAACATTTTGCTCAAAATGGGGTCAAGACATGTCAATGCCAAACGCAATGGAAGTCCCTTCGAATTAGGCATTGGCTGTTGGCTATTGGTTGTTTGTTGTTGGCGGTTGGTTTTTTGCTGTTGGTTGTCGGCAGTTGGTTGGGGTTCCCCCCCCAACAAAAAAAAAACATGGCCGGGGGAGGTGGGGGTGTTAGGCTCCCCTCTTCTTTCTAGACAGCTCGCTTCCCTCCGCTCGCGGCAACCGAAACCCCGCCGTGTCCGGGGAAGAACCCGAGCCGAAAGGGGCCGCGGAACAAGGATCTACGTGGGCATCAACCCGTTGCTCCCGCCGCCGCTCAAAGCGGCGCCCGACTTCATGGACCACTGGCCCGAGGCTTAGGTCTCACGGAATCGGAGTGCAGCCTGGCAAACGGGTATGGGTCAAAAATGAGTCACCGCCAGGATATGGACCGCAGATTTTAGAGAAGGGGTCCATTTACCAGGGCAACCCATTTTGGGTACGTATTCTTGATCCACAGCCAAATGAGTTTGAATGACCATGGCCACCCTTAAAGGGGAACTGTAGGGTGGGTGTGGCTGCCGGCTCAATTTTTACCCAATGCGACACCGCCCAAAGCGTGCGGTTCCATTGAACCCAGAGTTAAATTGCAGCAACAGGTGGAGCCCAGACTTAGATAGCTTTGGTTTGAACCAGCGTCTGAGCAATGCCCAAAACTCCTATTGACATGTTTAATAGGTGATTCTAGTTGGCTGACATGTGACATCAGAAGGCTTAAACCTGTGATCTTGGCAAAACCAAACGTCAGTCTTTGGGCGCTGCTTTGGCTTTGCGAACCGAACTTGCTTTTTGGTTTGAGACAGCCACCCGACTCCAGGGATCGCCTTATTAGCGTCCTTTCGTTGCACGTGAGATGATAGTTGGTTTGACGCTTGACTGCGCCCATGTCCTGATCTTTGTTTGGATTGATGTTCATGACAAGTGAAAGTAGTCCAAAACTTAAGCACATGAGCAACTCGGAAATACCTGGGCATTTTGCAGCCCGCCAAACTTGTCCTGGGGGGAGGAAAAAACAACAACAACAACATTCACAGCCATGATGCCAATGGACTTCGAATGGGGAGCTCAATGTTGCCCCCGGACTTATCAACCTGGCGGGATATTAAGGTTGCTTCCGCAAGTGAAGAAGCCCTAAACGGGCACGCCCCTTGCCCTTGAGCAAAGCCAAGGGTTTATCATTCTAGCTCCCTGAGTGAAAAGTTCCTGGGTACTCAACTCAAATCCCTCCACAGCTTTTGCCCCCCCCCGAGAAAGGGCCCTAGGAGTTTTCTTCAATCCTGAGCTGCTCAAAGGGTCGAACCGAATGACCAAGCCTGGGAAGAAGCTTCAGGGACGATGAATTTCATCTCGGAAACCAAAGTGGTCGGGACAGGAAATCCAAATGCTGTCCACAGGTCAAGGGCATCTCCATGTCCATAGTTGTTGGAGGGATGGATCCTTACCAATATAAGCTTGCAAGGCGGTCAAAACCCCCTAGTGGTAGTTCTCACATGTTCTCACACCTCCCAAACCCGTACCTCTGAAAGTTCCAACTTGAACAGGGTCCCTTAAAATTCATGCTCGCCATGTACCAACTTCCGTCGAATTAGATCGATCTCCAGGCGCCAGCATCAGGAGCTCAGCAGGGACCTCAGAAAGGGAAACAGCGGCGAACAAACATCGACATGATTTCCTCATGGTTATAAAGCTTGATTTGAAGACACCACCCCAAGTTCTGCGTTTAGGCCCCCAGGGGATAGTAGTTCTGTTTGTTTGGTGGGCCTCGAGCTCACCGATTCGGGAGATGAACGAGGCAATTCTTGTGTCAGCTGAGAGGTTTGTAGAATTTGCAGGTGTCATTTGAAGATGAACCACGTGTCTGATGCCGTTCCCGGGTTCCATTGCTCTTGAACAAGATGTTTTTCGCGAGGTTTGCCCCTTGATGACTTGGCGCCTGAAGCCCATGCGCTGCTGCAAGTGAGTCCACACTGCAGTTCCCTGCGCGTTGAATGTCTCACTTCCAGGATAGCCAGCTTTGGAACTTGGTTCCATGGCCACAGTCCGGGATTTGGACCTCTGCACCCCACCACCCTGCACCACCAAACCAGCAAATGCAAATCCACCAAGAAGGAAGCTGATGAAAGCGGCGCTTGACTCTCTCGCCAAGTCCGGACAGCGCAAAACACATGCCCGCAGGGAGAATTGGCCCAGAGGTTTTTCGGGCTGAGGTGCTAGGAATGTGAGTGGCCCAACCCGTTGCGATTGAAAGGTTGGTTCGTGCGGTTCTGGCCTGTGCTGTTGCAAAATGGCAGGTAGTGCCCGAGGTGGAAACGCAGATATTGTCACTGCCCAAAAGATGGTGCCCCGCTCCTTTTGGGAAATCAGGGTCATCATGCAGGCTGCCGGCTTCGTGAAAGGCCAAACGTCACGGAGGGTCCCGTGCAAATGTATCATTTCAGCTGGCGCTTAAGGAGCGATCGCGCGTTTGTGGATTTTGAAACACACGCAGCCTGAGGCCAAGCTTCAGATTTCCAGCTATGACACCCCATGAAACCCTTTGAAACCCCGCGAAAGCCAAACGCCTATGAACCCCCCCCAAAAAAAAAACACATGAACCCCATGAAACCCTAAAATAAACCCATGAAACCCTCATGAAACCCCATGAAACCCTATGAAACCCTATAAAAATCCTCTAAAAAACCCTATGAACCATGGGGCGCCTTTCATTTGGTGTGCCGGGTCTGGTGTGCCCAGGTCGGATCGTCTTGGAAACAGAGGCGGAGGACTCTCCCGCGCGCTTCTTTGGGTCTCCAAAAAGCGCGCCCATGTTCAGGGCTCCTTAAAAGATACACGTGTCATGTTTCTGGGGGACGGATCCGAATCTTTCCAGAAAACCATCAGAACCCCCCTTGGCCCAGGACCACATACGGGACAAGTGAAGTCGCTACAGACAATAAGCAATGAAGTTGCCGCGGGGATCCTCTCTTTCCTCTTAATTACAAGTTCTTGGGGTGAGTTATGACTGACATGTTCCGAAAGAAACATGTCAATTTTCGGACTTTCCTTGTTGCCATTTGTTAGTGGTGGCTGGAACCAATATACATGAAAAGTGGAAACGCCTCGGACACTTAGTTTCGGATTGATAGGCAGATGGTTGACCCTGGCTTTCTGAGTAGTTGGATGTTCAACTATGTAGTAAGTAGCTTATACCCTCGGTCATAAGGGGACTAACCCCACTTACTCACTTGCAACCATCGTTGCAACCTTGATCCGAGCCTAAACGAAGGGATCCCCTTGAAGAAATGTCTTGATTTGAAGAAATGTCGAAGGCAAGCCCTGAAACCGTGGCATCTAAATCAAGCTGATTGATTCCCGGCGGTTCGCGGGAGCATCTTTCGACCGCTCTTCTTCACAGAGGCGCCGGAGACCACACGTCATGGGAGACTAGGCTGTGGTTGTCAAAACCAATGGGACCCCATTTTGGTTGGTAGGTGCACCACCCAGTTTAGTCTATTTTAGTGGGGATTGGGATGTTCACTGGGGGTACGGGATTTTGACCCATGGCCACATGGATGCGTACAACACTTGAAACTTCCTCGGCTTCATTTGTTCCGAACGGAACGCGCATTCTGGGTGGGATTCCAACGTGCGATGTGAGCTCGCTTGTTCGTCATTGAGGGGGACGTTAGCTATGCCTACTGGCAAAAAGTTTGGCCGGGCTTAGAGTTCAAGTGAGGACCTGAACAAGCCTTCTTGACAAGGCTATAACAACTGATATCTGAGGGCTTTGTGCTCCCGGGGCAAACGCACCAACATGGTCCAAAAAAAGAAGAGCTTGTCGGGAAATTGCAATGCAAAAGCGGAAATTCCAAGGCTTTTTTTTTGTGGGTTGCTTCGAGATTTTAGCCAGGGCAGCCAAAATCAAATCGTGCAACGTTTGAGCATGTCGGTGTGGAAACGGGCATGCAAAGATGGTGGGTTTGTTTCACAGCTTCCCCCTGATTTTTTGCCAACAGCTGAAAGCTATGGGCAGATATGCTCTGGATTGGTTTGGGGCAGTGGTTTGGGGCAGCTTTCAGGGAGGGTTCCGGATTCGGAGACTGTTCGGGGATTCCATGTTGGGGATATGCTTTTTTTTTTTTGCGAGGCTGGGGTTGGTCCCTTGGTCGGCTCTCCTTTTCGTCTCGCAGGAGATGGACGCTTGGGCGGTGAGGTCTATGACAGGCCACGTGCTGGCGCAGTGCTCTCTCTCCCAGGCAAGGCGGTTTTCGCCACCCTCTTTCCAGTGGAAGTGGACATGGGCCACAATCAAAACCTGGGTAGATGAAGGTTAGTCAGGGAAAGACCCAGCCGGAAATAGTTGCGGCCGCCTTTCTAATTCTTTACATGGTTCTGGGTTCACCATTTTTGTACCAGGTTTTGATTGTGACTCACATGGGACCTTCCCACAGTACAAGCTTTTGCCTTCCAAACCCCTGCCAGGTTCCATGATTGGAGGGTATTTCACCGCATGGTTCACCATTAGGCACATGTTGGGACCGGCTAACATGACCTCCATTTTGCCTCTGGTTTTGTTGGGGGGATGGGACATGAGCGCATGGAAGGTCAACCCACTGAAAAAGGTTACAACCCTGGGGGTCCCGAAAACCCTTTGGGTGTCAAGGTCGCCTGGACCTTTTGTGAGTTTCCATTTGGTGGTGTGTGAGGACATTGTAGGAGGAGCAGCCAACAGGGCCAGAGGCGCCTTTTGGTAAGCTTTTTTGGCAGCTTTTGGTGAAGTTGCCATGGATTCTGTTTATTTTTTTCCAGGGGGGTCCGGATGGATCGCTTTTGGGGGAAACGGTTCGAATGATTTGCCAGATTGAACATCAAGCAGAGTAAATCGCGCTCTTGATCCTAAACCCAAGCATTCCATGGGTGAATGGAAGGTGCAACAGAAAACAAACAGCTGCAAAACCTCCAGCATATCACTTCACTTGCATTCCGGGTACAGGTTTTTTTACTGGAAATTTGCCAAACATGGTAGTAGAATGTCCTGTCTTGGATACTTCGCCTGCGCCGCCGGCATTCGAGCGCATGCACGCAGCGTCTCGCTGATTGGGGGAGTGTCCTGAGAGAATTTGCGGTTGTCTCAAAATGGGGGAAGCTACAAAAAGGGTGCCGCCAAAGGAGGACAAACACATCTTTCGCTTGTTGGTTGCAAGTTGTGTGTGAACCAGATCCTGGGCAAACGGAAAGGAGATGTTGTCTAAACAACGGTGGGTCAAACATGTTTGAACAAGGGCTTGTCTCAAGCATGCGGTCACTTTGGAGGAGACATCCGTCCTTGCAGGATTTTTTTTTGAGTTGCTGAACCCTGGACCTGGGTTCGCGGGCGTAGTGATCCAGGTTGGGCTCTTTGTGCCTCCCCTTTTGGGTGACCCTCCGTTGCTTAGTTCCCTTCTGTGTATTGACCCTCCCTTTGCTTTTCGGCCAACTCTGCTTTTTTGGTTTTGAGCCCCCTCTTTTGTTAACCCCCTGTTCCACTTTCGCCATTTGAGGTTGGGTCATTTGGTGTCAGGTCAGGAGTCCCTGAATGTCTAGGAGGACGAAACGGTATTCATACCATGTCGATTTCCGTGGGTCATGTTGATCCAGTGTTCCATGTCCAGTTTGTCACTTTGAGGCCCTTCCCCGCTTACCAACCACCGGCTGGGATTTGAGAATGGTAAACTCATGGCCCCGACGCTGCGGGTGGCACCAACCGAAAAGCGAATACCCTAAACAAAACATCCAACAGTTGGTGTGCACCATAAACAAGCGCACGCATACACACACACACACACACCCACGCAATTCCCTAAAAACCAATACCCGGTCCACCAGAATTACCCCTTCCCCAAACACCTCGTCCTTACCGCCACCATCCCCAAGGGCGTTTCCGGAGGCTTCTGAGTTGCTGCGGAGCGAAAGCTACGTGCTGCTGCAGGTGGTGCCTTGGCTTATAAACTTATAAGCAAAGAGAACCCCAGAGAAACAAAAAAAAGGAAAAAAGAAAGACAACTAAAACCTAAGCATGCGCCGATTTGGGTCAGGTCGACGACTATAAGGTGGAGCTGTCTGAGTAGACAATCCTCACGCTGTAGGATGCCATTTGTAGGCTTCCCTGTAGAAGCAAGCAAAGCTAATAAAGCCAACCAATCCACTGAGCTCGATTTGTTTTTCAAGGGGGAGTGAACCTTCACTGGGGGATCCCTTGTTAGTGGTGTCAATGCTTTCCAGGGGGAACACCCTGATTGCTAAGTTGGGATTATTGAGAAGAGGTCAGCATTAAGTGTTGTTTTTCAGGGTACCCATTTCACCTTGTTCAATCCACTTACCTCCTTCCAGCAATCATGGAAGTGGACAGCGACGCGCTTTTAGATGGTAGTCTGTCAATCCCGTTTCTGCACTTCCATGATTGTTGAAAAGAGTGTAGAAAGCTTGTGTAATTGTTGCAACTCTGGAATGGTAGTTCCTGTATATCCTTTGCCTACTTGCCAGGTGAGTTGAGCATCCAAGAAGGGGTGCTTCGCAGTTAGTGGTGCTGCAACACAATCATGTGGCCATGGGTCAAAATCCCGTACCCCCGGTGAACATCCCAATCCCAACTAAAATAAACTAAAATGGGTGGTGCACCTCCCCCAAAATGGTCCCATTGGTTTTGACAACCACAGCCATGTGAGAAATTGCCAATATTGATTGTCATTTGCTGACATTGGCGCGCCAAATTGCCACTAGGAAATGGGGCACACCAAAATCCAAGGATGTTGACTTTTGAATGGGCGATGGCAGCTAGAGGCTCCTCCATTTCCCTGCTTGGACCTACAAAAGGGAACTCAAAGCAAGTTGCAACTTTTGAAGGGGAAACCCAGTGATGTTTGAAGGGACCAAATTCTACAAACCTTCCAATTCGGTTGGGAGCAGCCCCGGTGGTCCTCGTATTTCTCCTTTTTTGGGTTTGGGTCGAGCGACGCTCAAAACGCCCTGTTTTTGGGTTCACGTCTCCGCTCAGGAGCACCACTTCGCGGTTTTCGCCCACACGGACCAATTGCCTGAGGCACGGCCGCGGCTGACTGAAGACGGAAACAAGATTAGCCACTGAGGTCCAATTGACAAGATTCCCTATGTTGCCCCCTTTGATGGTTTCAAACATCACCAGGTGTCGTTTTGGCTTTATATATATATATATATATATTTGGGGAAAGTGCAGGGAGCCCGGATTGAGCTCAGGGAGCCATGGGAAGGTGTCCTTAGTGGCCCCAGAAGCGCACTATTAGCTTCGGCTGCAATCTGGGAAGCCTCAGTTCAGTCTCATGACTCATTGAAGCCACAATCCTGCCGCAGCTTTGGGTGCCCAAACGAACCCTTTTATCCTTTTCAGGAGGACACTTACACACACACACGCACCAAACGAGTTACCATGTTGTCCAAGACCCAGGTGCTTGTGCAGGAAGGTCCAAGAGTCCAAGACCCGTCAGGGGCTTTTCAAGGGAGGCTTGCAATGCCCTCTCTTTTTGTTGGATGCTGTTTAATGCTTACGCATCAACAACCCCCAGTTGATTTCAACCCGGGGAAACAGGGGCACCTTCATTTTTTTTTGGCGGGGGTCGGTTGGTGTCTTTCTTTTCGCAGGGGGAGTTGTTTGAAAAGGGGGCGACAGAGGCACCACATGAAGAGATGGCAGGTTCCTTTGGTGCATTTTGCCAAGGGATGTTAGGACTTCAACTTGTTGCCAACTGATGGGTTTTCCGTATTAATGTTAACCCCGGATGAATAAACCCCTAGTTGATTAATAGGGGGGTGTCTCCTTTTAGTGGGGATTCATCACTTTTGGAGGGAACACCCCCCTAATAGTGGGACGAGTTTATTAATCCTGGGTCAACATTAAACCACTAAAAGTTAGGGGAGCAGAAAACTAACCAAGGTCCCTTGGTTCAGCTTTCATGACTCATTTCAGCCGGGGTCTTAGGTCGGCAAAAGGCGGGGGGACAGCTGCCGGCCTTTGTGGTTTTCTTGGGGGCTGCCGTAAGGCCCAAGATAGAGCTGGGTTCCGTGGCCGCCAGTCCGGTTCCTTGGCTTAACGCCGTGGAGTTGGTTTAGTGGTTGGGTTTCCATTTTTCGCCCACCAAACATGGTTGTTGTTGGGAAACATTCTTCCCATTTTTGGTTATTGTGGTTTAGTGGTTGAAATCCAACCACTGAACTGCTAAAATTTGAGAATTGTTGCTCCCCAAACCCAACGTCAACCAAGCAAACGTGATTCACTTGCAAGGGGAAAAAGGATCTGAAAACGGACAGCCCAGACATATGGGTGTGGCTCAAAAAACCGGTACCCAAAATGGGTTAGCCTGGCAAGTGGAAACATGGACCAACAACTTCTGCGGTTTGCCCCTCCGATCGTTTTTTCTTTGAGCCACAGCCATGGACCAAAAAACTACACAGGAGGGGCCAGCCGCATATTTTTTTGGGTAACCCATGTTTTTCCACTTACCGACCGGGCAACCAAAAAATGTGGGTTTTGGTCCATGTTTCCACTTACCAGATCAACCCATCGTGGAATTCCCGGGGTTTTTTGAATTCGCCACGGCCGTGGGACCAGCGGTTCTCTCTGCAGGCGCTGCTTTCCCGATCCGAGTTCCAGGCCCCCCGGGAGGTCTGCCGCGAGGTTTGGGGTGGGCTGCGGTGGTTTCCGCTTGGAGTGCCGAACAAGCCGAGCTTTTCAAATGGAGGCCCCCCCAAAAAGAAGAGACACCCACTTGGAGCCAGGACATTTGCCCCCCCAAAAAAGAAGAGACTCCCATTTGGGGAAATCTTGGTTTCTGTTGGGTGTTCTTGTTGAAACCCAAGAACCGCACTCGATCCATGTGGTGTTTGGGTTTGGGTTGTATTTGTTCCTTTTGAACCGCACCCGAGTTTCAGGGTTGCTCCGAGCCTCTCTAGATAGGACCAAACCACAAGGACAGACAAATGGTAAACAACGGGATCGTCTTGTTGCGCTTTTCTGTGACCCACATGGGTGTGTGTTTTTTGGAGGCTACCCTTTTTCGTTTGAAGGGAAACCCAAAGGCGACCAATCCTGGGGACCCCCTCCCCCCTTTTGACACATCCAATGTTTCCAGCCGATCGATTCGGAAAATCCCCTGTAGGCGTGGCAGAGGGGCTGGTTTTGTTCCCCCCTTGCGCCGGTGCTGCTCAGCTTGGAGCAGGCGAGTCGGCTGGGTTCGGAAGAAAAGGGGGATGGACGTCCAGGCAGGTAGGCAATCAAACTCAACATCCTCTGTTGATCAATGACCCCCGACTCCCCATTTTGCTGGTCGAATACGGGCAAAGATAAATACATCCCTGCCAGCTGCAAGCGTTCCTTTTTTTTGGTAGGAGACACACCCACGTAAGACTGTCCTGGTGGCTGAGTGCACCAGCCTGAGAAGCGACAGCAGCCAAAAGCTGAGGTTTTCACACCATAGGCCGAGTACCCCCCTTGCGCAGTCACGGGCGCAACCCTTGTCTGAGAAAACGCTCAGACGGCCACGGTTCTGAAGAGCTCACAGGGGATGATGTCCGCTGGTCCTCCCCAAATAGAGTTGCCCAGAACATCGATCTCGGACATCTGCGAGCTGTCTGAAAATATGAGTCGATGGACAGGAGAGGCGATCTTGGGTCTGAGATGGGCTTTGGAAATGCGGGGCAGAGGTTCCGGGCATAGAATCTGCGGGGTTGCAGGTGTCTAGTGTTGTCTTGCCTGCAAACGATCTGCATTTCGTGTCCTTCAGAGGCGGGCTGGCCTTGGCCCTGGTACACAAGTTCCGAAAGCAGCGCAGCTCCTGGCCTCTTCCAAGCTGGCATTCGCAACTGCGTTTCGGAGCCCACGTTGCGCCTTTTGAAGTGTGTTTGGGCTGGATGGCGAGGGAAAGCGGGTGAATTTTGCGAATTGGCGGGGCGAAGATCGACAGCAGATGGTTTGGGGTTGGAAAAGCAGGGTCCCCTTGTCCGGGCCCCTGGTGCTCTTGAATTCGTGTGGCTTGGGCAACATGGATGGATGAGGGCGCGCACGATATCCTGCAAGGTGCCAGCGAAGAATTCTAAGTAGCGCAACTTGTTTGGATGTTCAACCCACTTAGTAGCTTACAACATGGAACTAACCCCAGTTGCCCCCCATTTATCATGGTTCGACCTGCTTGCCCGACATGTCTTTCGGACCGGCTTGAAGTGTTGCAAAGCAAATCCCAAAGGCAATGAACAACCTGAATCACTCAGGAAACTCCCAATACCTTCTGCTTTCATCTCTTTTCGGGACATTTTACGTCTTTGTCTAAAACAATGATATGTAAACAAAAATGGTTTTCGCATTCACCAACGATTCGCTGAAACCTGATGGTTGTTCCTCAATCCTTGTGCCACATCGTCGTGGTTTTCCTTGCGCTGGGATCAGAGATCGTCCAGTTTGAATCCTGCACCACCTAAGATGCCCTGGAATGAGGATTCCTCTGTAAATACCAACAAACCAACGGTGTCCCATGATTTCAAAGTGGTGTGAAATTGATTTTGTCCATCCACAGTAGCACCCAAGTCTCGCTCCCAATCTCGATCAGCTTCCTGTTCGTCAGCTGGCCGGGTTCGATGAGACCTGGCTCTCCATTGGCGCGCTGCCGGAAAAGGAGGCGCTTGGGGTGAGGGGGGGGGGGGGGGGTTGGGAGGAGCGAATTGGGAGGAGTGGGGCTGGGGCTGGAGGTGGGGACGTTCTAAGTTAAACCTGTTGACCATTTTGAGTTTGCTCCAATCCTCTGGATGCCGGCGCGCATGTTTGGCGTTGTTTCCGCCCTGCACACAATCCTTATAAAGATATATGTGTCGCGTGCGGCGATTTGCGCAGTTCGTCGCTGCATGTCTGCCATCGCTGTGGAAGGGACTGGCACGCTTGAATGCGCTGGATCATCCATCTCGCAGCTTGTCGACGTGGCTGGTTTCAACACGTACGAAACACAACTGCTCAGCCCCAGATCCAACGGGCAAAACGTGAGTCACATCCCAGTGTCGTTGCCACTTGCTCAAAGTGTTTCATTGGTATCATAGAAAGCAGCTCCTCAAACCATGATTTTAGGGTGGGCGTTGGATTAGCCTACCTACAAGGATGCATCATGGGCAACTTCAGATGGGGTTCCTTGTTTCAGGTGACATTCCAACGATTTTGCTTGGAGGACACGACCCTGATTGAAACGACCTATGATCCTCCGCAATGAAAGGAGTTAGCCCTCTTCCACCACAAGTCCATCAGTCAGGGTGACATGGGTTGGGATGTTGCTCAGTTCCCCGCAACCCCCCCACAAACGCTCAAACCCAGAACGTGAATCCAAGCAAAAACTCTTGGGTCCCGAGAATGTGTAATAAAAACAGGGTTCCCTCAAAACGATATATCCATATGGCTCTGAAGTTTAAGAATCACCTCCAAAGTGGTTGGACATGAATGTTCACCGAATGTGGATGTCCAAACGGTCCGGGACCCACTCAAATTCACACCCATGCATGCATGTTTGGAGCAACACGCATATTCTCACTTCAGAGTTTCCGCATGTCCAAAGATCACTTTTTGGTTGCCACTTTCAGATCCTTTGGTGGACATCATTTAGGTGGGGATTCAGGTCCACTCACTTTCGAGGTTCATGGCCATTTTTGACCCACCTTTCTGGCTGTGGGTCAAAACCAATGGGATCCCATTTTGGGGTAGGTGAATTCACCTCCCATGTTAGAACCTATTTTAGTGGTTAGATTGGTTGATGTTCACTGGGGGGTAACCAAGGCTTTGACCCATGGCCATTTGCCTAGGCTTCGGCTGGGGTCATTTTGGGCTATTCGGGTGGCGCGTCAGGCAGCCCAAGAGGCGGCCGCAGCGGCGTGCCGCTTCTTGCGTCTGCAGGGCCTTCGGCCCGCCGAGGCGGTTTTGGGTGCCGAAGCTGGGGTGGGTCAAAGGCGTCAACGTCAAGGTCCCCCAGCTAGGTGCCAACTTTTACCTTTTTTCTTTTTTGGTTGGGAGGGTTTTGCTACTAAGATAGACTACAGCAAAAAAGGGCACCCTTATTCTAACCTCTCTACTGGAGGACCTGGTCATTTTGGGGGTACCCTATTTTTGACCCCGAGCACCCTGTCTGTTTTTTGGGTTGGAACCCATTTGCAAGGGCACTGCGCGACTTGGACAATCTGTTGGAAGTTTTGGTTCGGCAAGCGCTATCGCACTGAGAGGGGTGGTGCCGTTGCGACAACTCTTCCCAATCGGCACTTCTTTTTCGGCCAAAGGAGGGATAGCCCAACTGGTCCAAATATCACTCCCCCTTTCCAGCTCTTGTTCTGGGTCCTCTTTTTGGACATCATGTTACATTGTTGAGGTTCAGTCAGTGCCAGAGCCTACGACTGTCATTTTTAGTTGGGCCCCCCGGTGCTCTTTTGGATGCTCTTCAGTTTCTTGATTTCTCTCAAGAGGCTCCGGGCAAAACGGCCGGCGGAGAAAAAGCAAACAAACAAAACGCGAAAGAGCGATGATTGAGTATAATTGGGCCGTAGCACGCTAAATCCCTTCAGCATAGATGGCCTTTTTAGGTTGGTTCGGTGAGAGGTAGATGGCACTATGGGCTTCATTCCATTTTCCATGGCCATCTATTTTACCACAAGGACACTTTTGCCTAACCCCTAAACCAATCCAAGATCAATACCTGAACTCACCAAAATGGATCCTGCACTGGCCTGTTGCCCCGCAAACCAATGTGGAAGCAAAGCCACGAGAAAAGTGGACTAGAAACTGGAAATATGACTCTACAGAGGAGTAGTAACATACTGGGCCAAACTAATATTAGCATTTTAAACTACCCCACAACGATTCAGGCCCTTGCAGTACCCTGCCGCCAATTCTGGGAACTCCTCTATGTTTTGAAACGTTTAGTAGACGCATTATGTACCAGAATCCAAACATATTATTCCGGTGTACCCAGTAGGGCCAAGGTACCCCGCCAATTGGTTCAAAGCGTTTGGACTACTGCTGTTGTTTTTTTTTGTTTTTTTTGGGGGGCATGATTTTGGATGATTTGGTTCTGTGTACCGTGAGAACTCAAAGTGACAAAGTCGTGGTGGGTATGGGAATCCCACTCTGGTATCAAAGAAAAGCTTATTTCCTACAACCAGGTTTTCTGCCATATTTTGTGACGAGCTCACCGATTGGGGTACAGCGAGCGAAGCCCATGATGTAGCCGCTTTACTTGGGGATTCATGAAGATATCAAGAACGGCGCTGCCATTTGCTTAAGAATATGTTTGATTTCCCCTGGTTGGTTTTAAAAGGAGTTTATCACTGGACATATTTTTGTTTTTTCCAGGGGTCTGAACCAAAAAGGGCAGTTTAGCTCCCACGTTTTGCCCTCTCGCAGGCCATGCCCTGCGAGGATTTGCCGGAAAGCTCCAGGCCGAGGGAGGAGTTCCTCGGGGTTTCGCTCCAGGGAATTCCCGGGCTGCCCGGCTCTGGGGCCGAAGTACCTCACCCCTTGCTCGGAAGGTCCTTTATATGTTTGGCCAGTTCATGAATATGTACCAGGTCAGACATGTCATGAAATCTACTGTAGTCAAAGGAATGACATTGGGCACACCCAAAGTCTTACTAGATCACTAGGAAGTAGGGGCTTCAGCGAAATCCAACGGGCTGGACGGAACACAACCAGATTGACCGACCAATTATCCGACAATTGAACAAGATGTTCCTGTGACAGGACCCCCTAAATTCACGCATCAGAACGAGATAGTGTTGTTGCAAACGATGCAAAACACGATGAAACCAGATCTTTGTGACGATGCATGCTCGTGTAAATGCGTTCTTTAACTTTCCCAAAGGAGACCAGAAGGTGGGCGCAGAGTTTTGGAATGCAATGCGTTTTTCTTCTTCCCCAAAGACACCGTGGATCGTCGGAAATCAGTTTCTCTTTCTCAATCATGTACCCTTCCTCTCACGAGCATGTCAATTTTTGGTGTTTGTAGGACCCCGCAACGCCGGCAGATTCCCCACAGTAGTGGACAGGGTATGTTTCTCCATCTTAGTGGACGGGCCAAGTTTTCATCAAATCCCATGCCATGTTATTGGACAGGGTATGTTCGCCCCCGCCGCCCAAAAAAAAGAGAAGAAAACAAATTGAATAAGATAGAACCAACAAAACACCAAGGGACTGGTTTGTGTTTCGTTGCTCCCCGCTTTCCGAGCTGCCAGGGTCTGGGCCTTCGCCTCAGTCGGGGGCGGGCTTTCTTGGGGTCTAGGAGATGTCTGGAAGGGTCCCCATAGGCTTGGATTCGACCTGAGCGGATTTCCTTCTCTTGCATCTTCGACTCAATTTAGCTACCAAACAAATTGAACGCGGCTGGTCCTCGGTGTAATCCCAGCCTCTTAGATCTTTCGGGTCTTTTCAATAAAACCTACAACAGGTTTGACTAGGGAAGAGCAGCCCGAAAATGGATATCGCTTTTTTCTGGCCAAGGGTCAGGGGCAAACCTGGAATTGCAAATGGGTGTGTCCAAGAAATGCAGGGGTTCTCCCCGCAATTGTATCTGGCGTTTTCCGAACTAAAGAAAGGCCAAGGCTTCTCGGTATTTTCGCACAACCTTGGTTTGAAAATCAGCTGCGCAGCTGGGAACCCATAGCTGCGCAGCTGGGAACCCATAAATGGAAAATAAGATCGAAGGCCGTGTGGGGTTTGAACATGGTGGCTTTCTTTGTATGCGGTGCCGAATAGGTTCCTTTTGCGGCTTTCTGGCTTAGGGTCGAGCCTTGAGGTGATTTCACGGCCGGAATTCCGCCTTCTGGGTACCAACCAAAATGGGATCCCAAAAGGGTTTTGACCACCACAACCATATATCATAATGGGCGTGGGGGGGAAACATCCTGGTCCATATCTTTTCTACCATCTCTACCCTAAACTTTATCAGCATGTTGGAGGTTTAACCGAGATGATCAGCGATATCCAGATGATTTAAGCATTTAGCTCGTATCAATTACGAGGCCTTGGCCGGGCTCCATTCCAAGGATCAGGCCTGGCAACAGCGCTTGCGGATGCAGTGGGCCTCTCGGCAAAATGGAAAGTTGCTGAAAGGAACCCAAGACTCAGGTCACACAAGCAACGCTGGCACTGCGGGTTTGCCGGGCTCAGAGTGGAATGCATTCTTGACGGAATCGACCGTGCTTGCTTTGTGAGCACTGTGGTTGGCTGTAGGGCAACGGGCTTGTTTTCAAGCTTGACCGAGCTGACTGGAGGATAGGCCCCTTGCTGGTGCTTTCTAGGCACTCGATTCAGAGAACCCATTTAACAGGCTCTGAGAAACAGGCTCCGATCACATCCTCGAGCCAAATTTGGAGCCGGGGGCGCGCGCTTTCCGCGCGCGCTTTTCTCTTTCTTCTCTTTCCTCTGGGACCTGAGCTTTGGACCTCTGGGACCTGAGTGTGTACTATGTTCAAAGGACCTCTTTTGTGGTGTGATCATCAGCCCTGGCAGGGAGTTGGGGCACTAACCTCGGGTGGACCCCAGCGACCATGGAATCACTCACATCCAAGACAGAGCTTCTTCACACCATGGAAGCCAAGGTACCGCAATCAAAAGAGCGCCCCCTTATAGAAAACTAGCTATGTGGGTGTGGGTCAAAATTAAACCACCAGGGGACCACCTGTTTTAGTCATGGGTTCCATTTACCAGGGTTCCATTTTGGGTACCCATTTTGACCCACAGCCATGTCTTGTTCCAGACTCCACCATTTGTTTTTGTTTGGTGACCAACTTCTCCGAAGTCTCACCGTGATCTTTCGTGCACCCGCGGACATCATTTCGGTGGGGGATTTTTACCGCGTCCACCAACCGCTTTTGAGCTGGTTCCCTATCAAAACTCATCTTTCTTGAAAAAATCTCAAAACCATGGGGTAGATCTTTGAGATGGTTCCTATCACCACATTTTGGCTGCGCATCAAAACTCCCGGGGTTTGCCTTTCATCTTTCCGGACAAATGCGTTGCCCCCTCGGCTTCGGGTTCCAGGCGTAAGGAACGTCTTGTAATCACCCGGAAGACCGAATCCCTTGAGCCTTGGCGTGTGGGTTGAACCAGGAGAGCCTTTGAGGTCACTTGATTCCGCAGATCTAAAGAACCAACATCAGGGCAGCAACATAAAGAAGCAAACACAACAGGTCAGCAGTTGGGTCCCATTGGACACAAATCCACAACTTTCCACAAACTCATTAAATGAAACCATCCACCAATTTCCACCAAAAAAACAACATTTTCGTTTTTTCAAATAATAAAAACGGCCGCCCTTTTTTGGAAAAGGTTTCACTTGGGGGCCCAGGCGTTGCGGCCTGCATCTTCTCCAGGCGGGGGAGGATACTGAATTGGATCCCAATTGGTTTGGGAATTTGAAGCCCTTCAAATATGGAGGGTAATGTTAACCCCGGATTAATAAACCCCTGGTTGATTAATAGGGGGGTGTCCCCTTTTAGTGGGGATTCATCTTTTGGAGGGAACACCCCCCCAATAATGGGACGGTGTATTAATCCTGGGTCCCCCAAGCAATCCAAATTGGGAAGCTGAGATACACATCCGAATGGCTAGCTAGTTGGAGGGGAGCCGAAACTGGAAATCGGAGCTCGAGGTATCAATTTAAATTTGCCTTGGGAGTTCATGGTTGTCGTTGGGAAACATTTTGCAGTTTTGCTTATTGTGGTTTCGTGGGAAATCCCCACTTAACTGCTAGAAGTTTTTTTTTGCTCCCCTTTCAACGTCAACCAAGAGTTGAGGGAGCCTTGCCATTTTTGTTCAAAGGACAGATGAGCAGCGTTTGTTTTCATCAAATGCAAAAAAATGGGACACACCGAAACATCAATCCAACAGCGGTTTATTCATCATTCATCGCCATTCCCAGTTGAGCAGCGGTTTTTTTCATCAAATGAAAGGGTTTATACTCGTACAACCACTGAACTGCATGTACTTTGTAGAGGCAATCCTGGTTGGGGGCGTAGGCTCGCGTAGGCTTCTGCGCATAGGCTGTCGTGTCACCCCTCGCGTAGGCTTCTCGCGTAGGCGTTTGTTGAACGAATCATGGCTGAATGCTGCTCGCCAAGTATAAAGGAGTTGCTTCTTTTGCCTTCCTTCTGTTTGTTCTACAGTCTTCGCGTAGGCTCCGCGTAGGTACTGAAAAGTCCAAAGTGCACCTCTTCGTGTCGTACACTTGAACTGAACATTTGCTCGCGTAGACCGCTGCGTACAGCTGACTTGCGCTCGTGAAGGAACCCTTTGCAGCGGCCTAGGCTGGCTGAGGCTTCCGCATATGAGGCATGCAAGTAGGGCATAGACCCCGAGCCACCCAAAAAATACACTGCTCAAATACATATATATACTTTGGTGCATCTTGCTTGGATGTTAGGACTTTAACTTCTTGCCAACAAATGGGTTTTCCGTATTAAACCACTAAAAGTTAAAAAACACTTTTAGCAGGGGAGCAGAAAGCAACCGAGTACATATATATATATATATGTCTCAAAGTAGGGGACTCCCGAAAGTGGGCCGGAAACCCTGGCTCCAAGGTTTTGAGACAGACCTTAGGCCCTCCTTTCGCTCAGTTTCCCTTTTTCTAGGGCTACCTCCCCCATTCCAGGGATCTATTTTTTGGGGGAAAACCTCCAGAAACAGGGAACCAACAGGGGTCCCTATATTTCCCTATATTTCCCCGATGCAAGCCCTTACCACCACTCACCGGTAACCGGATTGCGCAGCACCACAATATTTTCACTGATGGGAGTTGCACGGTCAGGCACTTCCATGTCGAAAATGTTGCAGCCTACGCAATAATTGCAGATTGCATTCAGAGTGTCGCCGCGAAGCAAATAATTCTCGACCAACATACACGCGATAAGAAAATTCCTGGCGTATTTAGATGCGTTGCCGTATCAGCCATCCACGGCAACCAAACTATAAATCGAGCAGAGTTTTCTGCCATCATCCATGCGTTTTGTTTGTTTGAGAGCAAGCTGATTCACACCGACAGCTCATACGCATGTGACCTTTTCAACGACATCATGGACGAGCCCCGCCCAGAGCGATTTGGAACCTCAAAAAACTTGGACTTGATACATCACGCGTGTAGAGCTGTGCAGATGTTCGGTCGCCAGCACACCTCTGTGGTAAAGGTTAAATCCCATAGTAAAATTTGCGACTTAGATACCCTTGATTACAAGTGGGCGTGTGTTGGAAACGATGCGGCGGATATCGCTGCAAATCGAGCACGCAACTCCCTCAACCAGGATATTGTGGGCAAGACCAACGTTTTGCATTTTGCAAACTTAAGAGCGGAGAAAGCTATCAAAGAAGCTCACACTTTGTTAGGAAAAATATCACGGTTGCAAGTAAGTGAATTAACCGAAAAAGAGAACTTGGTGCAAAGTGACCCGGTTGTTAAACTATGTGGCAGTGTCCATAGCACTTGGCCCACACGTAAGTTGCCAGAGTTTGATGAACGATGCCGTGACGAAGCGTTTTGGGGAATTACGTATATGCTTAGGCTGTGTCACTGGGTCTCCACTCTTCGCTGGGCACCTCACGTCCAGGAAGATGAATGGGGTGTTTCATGGATTGAGCTGTTTCTCAGCTTTCAAAATGAGCACTGAGTCGGATATCCCAGTTAACCTTGGCACTGATGATCGACCACTCTTCACATTGCCAGAACACAATGAAGCGGTGAAACTCATTAAGCCGACTACGCATAAGCGTATGATTAGCTTTGAGAAAAGTTTGCGGGCCTTGGGACAAATCTTGGGGGTCGAATTATTCCCTTGCAACACTTGCAGCAGACCTCAAAGCCTCCGGGCGCTCGGTTTCTTCCAGGCACGACCCGGTCTTCAGAAAAGGCCGTGGTTCCCTTTCCACGAAGACATAACGCAAGCACTTCGCAACAAGGCAGGTTGCCCTGTCATCATTGGGGACCTGCCCACTTTGGTTGCAGACATCCGCATGATTTCCATCCCTTTGCAAGAAGGGGATACCGTCGAGTCACAGTGGACGAGACGGAGGTTTCACAAAGAGCTCCTTCGGGCGCCGCGCTAAGGAGAACGGACTCGGGCTGCACTCACACGTGGGGTGCAGTCCGAAGAAAGAGACGGGTGATTTTAGACATCACCTTCCCATGAAAGGTGAGTGTCCCTTGGTGGTTGTGATGTTTTAAGGGGAAATATAGGGAGCCCTGACCAACCCTCGACTTTTGGTTTCGAGCCTGGGAGCACCAAAAGCACCGAGCCGACGGGGGCGAAATCATCTCAGGCCTCGCCCTGCACCTCAGCACCTCAGGCTGTGGGAGGATCCGGGGGAAGGGAGCGAAGGAGCTGGGGGATCCAAATTTGCCTTCAAAGACAAGCAACAAGGGAAGCAGAATGCATTCTTAAGCAAATCTGTCACAGATTTGCTTAAGAACACTTTCTATTTTTCTTGTTGGTTCTAAAGGGAATCTAAGAAGAGGAAACTAAGCTACAGGTTCTGTAGCCGTGTCCATGCTCAGGGGTTTCTCCAAACATGGGGCCACCAAATGTGGGAAGATGTGTGGTTTGCTAAGGAGAACGATGGTGAAGAGAATAGGGAGTCAACCTTGTTAGAGCCATTGCCCCATTGCTATAACCTACTTGCCTGACGTGTGTTTGGGTGTGGGTTCCAGTCTGGTCACGCATTGTTTTGGCATGGAATCCGAGAAATTCGCCATAGGATCGATTTCGCAGGATCGATTTGAGGTCAAAAGGAGCCAACCTCAATTGCAACCCATTTGGGGGGGATGGTTTTCATGTCAGGTGTTTCTTATTGCGTTTGAAACCTGACGCCGCTTATTTCCGAAGACAAGCCAAAGGAGCTCGTTTGGCGAGCCTTGACGCTTTGGTTGGGGACTAAATGATTCGAACGGTGTTGTGGGGTGCTTTAAGCCAATCTGTTCTGGAGTAGACTACTCCTACGTGGGTGCGTAGACCAGCGTGTGTTGGGTGCTCGATGTCCTTTGTTCATGTTTAAGACGGGGGATGCAGATACGGGTTCAAGGCACAACGTGACGCCTTGGTCCCCCTCGCGTATCATGTTGCTTGATTGTTATGTTGTGTTTCCCGTCGTGAGATCTATGGTCTGCCTTGCACGATGCGAGGTGACAATGTTTCAGTTTTGCCAACCATGAATGTGATGCATCCTGATCATGGCCATGCCATCTATCGGAAGGATTCGCCCCCCCCCCCTCCTCCCCTCCTCCCCCCCCCGAAGAGCACATGGTTAAACCCTTTTGAGTCGGTACTTGAAGAGAAACCAAAAGGAAGCCAGCCATAAACACTTCTTTGAGTTCCTGAACTTTATCCTTTTGGGAAGACCCTAAACCCCAAACCCTAAACCCTTTTTATTCTTCATTTTTCTTCTTCATTTTTAGACCATTCTCGTGGCAATCAACAAGTTCGGACTTTTTTTGGCTGATCCACTCAGGAAGTGAGCATAGGGGACCTCATTTGGCTCAGGGCATGGCTACTGCGGGGCGGAGTGCGAGTGCTTTGCGCACGGGGCTTAACCTACTTCTACGGCGTGGGCTTGCATGGGTGTATCTTGGTTTTTTCTGCGGACCCCCTAAAATGGCTTCGAGTTGCTCCTTTTTTTGTTCCCTTTAGAGCCACAAAAAAGGGCGGCTACCCTCAAAGAAGACTCCCATATTGGACCCGCTTCTTATTATGGGCGTCAGTCGCTGCCTCAAGGTTTCCCGTGGGGACCCCTGTTTCTTGTCCAAAGGCATAAAACAGTATCGAAGAAAAACAGGCACCCAAAAAGGAAAACACACAACACAAAACATAGATCAACAAACAACCAAAAACACGCTTCGACATGTGCTTTCTGATTGGCTTCCAATCGTTTGCTCACGAGAATTTCCCATGCCTTGCCCCTCAAACGACTGCCCCCCCCCCCCAGCCACGCCGCTATGAAGCGCGAGATACAAAGAAACAATATTTTTTGCGGCTCTGTCCGTATGTGCGTGCGTTTGCCTTTGTCTCTTTTTGTCTTGGTATGGGTCAAAATTAAACACCAGGAATTGGACCGCAGGCTTGAGTCCATGTTTCCATGTACCAGGGCAACGCATTTGGGGGTTACCCGATTTTTGACCAGCCGTCTCTCTCCCAACATGTTGAAAGCAAAGATTTTGGGCGAATTCCTTAGGCCCTGGCGCGGTCCATCCTGCGATGTGCTGGATGCTGGGAGCGCGAAGGCTGTCCGAGGCTTAGCCTGCCCCGACCTCCAGGCTCCAAGCAAGCGAGGGGAGGGAGGGGTTTGCAGGGGTGGGGTGGGGGTATGGTGGACCCTGAGAGTTGATTTGGCAACCTCATTCGGGGTATTGTTTTTTGTTGGGGCTTGGGCTTGCAACATGAACTCTAAGTGCCCATGCATCGCGTGGAGGAGCGCTAGCGTGGTGCGGAGAGTGTATTCAAAACCCTCAGTTTGTGGGGGGGGGGGGGCTGTGGGGGCGGCGGGGTGGCCTCATCCATCCTGTGTGTGTTTTGGTATTTTCCCTCCAAAGGGGAACATAGCAGGGTAAGTGTGGCTGCCCTATGTCAGAGGCCTGAGGTCTGTCCAAGCCACTTAGCGAGCAAGCTTATTGCCAAGCTTATTGCCCGTTTTGCGATCGCCCCTTATGAGAGCCTTGGCCTTTGCGACCTTGGTTTGGCTGAGCTGGCTAGTCTTGCCAGCTGCCGGATGCAACCGTGCTGCCGAGGAAAATTTCAAGCAGGGTTGGCGAGAGCACAGATGTGGCAGCGAGTTTGATGTAACTGACGTGGCCTCCACAGTAGTGAAATGCTGGTCCAGCCCTCATCTATGTGTTGCTACGGTTGTGAATTTGTTGAGGGAAGTGGTTGGTGATGCTGTTGACACTGACATGGCCTACAAGATGATTGTCGACAACATGGAAGTGACCTTGAAGGACGGTGTGACTGCGAAGGCTGCTTTGCTCACAGCCACACAGTGCAAGCATTGTCCGACCTCGTTCTTTTGCTGGCCTCGGCCCAACAGGTTCAGGATCTGTACGGCATACAGCAAGATCAGCCAAGACCCTCCTGATAGCCCCCTGGAGTGTCACACCATCAAAAACAAGTGCGGTACGGATGTCTATGTCGCCTACGGCTTCAAAAGTGGGCGAGACTGGGTGACCGAAGCGTGGTGGCGTGTTTCTCGTGGCAGCGAGCACAAAACCTGCTTTAAGCGAGGACGGTACCTCTACGCGCACTTCGACTTTGTGGGGGATTCTTCCGATTCACAGAGTGACGCCAACTTCAACATTGGAGATGACGGAAGCTTTTGCGTCAGCAACTCCGAGACCACCATCGCAGAGCGCGAGACGAGTCCGAAGTTCCATGATCGCAACTCGGGGGCTACAGCGAACACTTGCTCGGGCTTGCCAGGGGCGGAATTCAAGGGCTTCGAGATGATTGACGACGGTGGCTTTAGCTCCTCGACGCTCAGCTCTAGCTGTCCGGGGCGGAACTTGCGCAACGGGGCTCTGGAAGTTGGCCGCAGGGAGAGGCTCGTGTTGAACGAATCCGTGAAGGGTTTGAATGTGAGTCATGTGAGCAATCACAGTCCGCTGGTGGTTCTTGCATATGAGGGGACGTGGTTTGTGCAACCACCCGAAGGACGACCTGCCAAGTGAGCTGAAGAAAACGCACACATCAAGTTTGTTCAGTTTATTTAATTAGCCCATGAGTCTTGGCACACTGGAACCGGCACTTGCAGGTGCCGTGTAATTGTAGTGCCGGGCAAGGCTCGTGTTCGGTAGCACTGTGGAGCAATCTGCCGACACATTTTAATGCAATGCTCCTGCTCGGTAGCACTCCTGTGGGGTAATTTGTGGAGACGTTTTAATGCAATGCTCGTGCTCGGTAGCACTCGTGCGGGGTGCATTACGATAATCGCGGGCAGCCGTGATTGGCACCTCTTTGTACAGAAGTCAGGTCCTTGTGTTCTCCTTCGGAGAAAGGGATTCTGAACATTTAGACCCACAACAGACAGGTGGTGATGACTATGAGGCTTGTGGCAAAGTGCAGCTTCGTCAAAGGCAAAGCCTCCCAAAATGGTTTTCCCGTGGATTCCAGAGCAGCGGTATAAAACAAAGAGACAAGATGAAACCAAGTTGGGTAGTGAACAGTTTGGCCAAAAAATGATCCAGTTGGGTAGTTAACAGTTTGGCCAAAAAGGGCCCCTTGCAACAAGTGGAGTCGAAATCATGGTTGTCGTTGGGAAACATGTTTCCCCATTTTTGCTTATTGTGGTCTAGTGGTTGAACTCCAAATCCACTTAACTGCTAAGCTTTGAGATTTTTTGCTCCCCAAGCCCAAGGCCAACCAAGAAATGGATTGGACCGTTTCGACCACGCGCGATGGTCTCTTTCAGTAAAGACCTTGTGGGTTTGGATCGATCGTTTGAGCAGACGGGGGCGAGTGGTTTAAATCCACGTGGGTTTGCTCCAGCGGGCGCTTGGTTCCCATTTTTCGACATTTTGTTCACTCAAAGTGGACTCAACGAAGGGAGTTGATGGACTAGTCCTTGGGCTTGGACCATAGTGGCAAAGAAACACTTGGGGTACTTCTTCTTGTGGGCCGGTCCACTCCTTCGGAACCGAGCCCCAGCGTGTCCACTTCCGCGCGGTCGCGCGAGCCCCGAGCCGCGACTCAGCGAGCGGGCGTCGAAGCTTCGAAGCTGCGAGGCTGCGCGGAGCTTCCAAGCGGCGGTGCACTACATCGTGAACGAGGCGCGGCCGCCTTCGCGCCCTCGCGCCCTCGCCTTCGCGGCTCGCGGCTCGCCTTCGGCGGACCTTTTCAACGGTTGAGCCGGTTAACCGGCGCCAGGGGCTTCCACGAAAAGGGGGGGGCTGGAAAACCAGACCCCTGAGGTTTGAGGAATGGTGCATGGCCAAAGGAATTAGCTTTTTGTTGCTTGTTGAGTTTTTGGGTGTCCTTCTTGTTTCCTTTGAAGTGAACCGTTTTCAGCTTTTGGCCAGGTGTCTAAGTCTGACCCATGGGTTTCTTTCGGATGCCAAGTACTGATGTTCCTTTGGCGCGCCGATCAGCATCCATTTTTTGGAACTTGTTCAATTGGTTCCCTGAATGTCCAGGATTGCCCTGAGGCTTCCAGTTGCTTGGGTATTGTAGGTCATCGCGTGTTTATTCTTCGGTTATCATAATGGTGATTTAGTAGGTTGTTTGTTTTGTTTAAGGTTAGTCAAGTGGCAACCAGGTTTTTGCAGTTTGATTGCACGTGGTGGTTTAGTTGTGTCAATGGTAGGTTACCGTTTGTTTGTTTGTTTGTTTGTTGTTTGTTTGTTTTGTTTGTTTGTCTGTTTGTTTGGGTTTTCGCATGGCGGTTTCGCGTTTTTTTTCGTTTGTTTGTTGCTTCGGGTTTTGAATTTGGTCTCGGGCACCTTCTGGGTGTGGGATTTATTTCTTCCCCAAGAGCTTCCTGAGGCGAAGTGCGGCGCCCACGGAGTCGTTGGACAAAGTTCGAGGCTACTTGTTGGATCGCAGCCCCTTTTAGTCCAAATGTGGGTTTGGCGGTCAACAAAGGTGAAACATTAAAATCGAATCCACCCACCAAAGGGTTCCAACTCTTTTGCTACCCCGGCCACCTGCTTGCAACTGATGGGCCTTTTGGGTCCTGACCCACAGGAGCAGCGCTTTCTCGCAAAACCCCGCACCGGTTCCTACCCCTCCTTTATTTTTGTTTGGCGACCTTTTTCCTTTCGAGCTACGTATTCTCCAGCAAAAACGGGGTGCATTTCATCATAGTCTACTTTTCCCCAGCCAAATGAACCAACCCTATCCCTGGGTACCTACGAAGGGCCCTTTGATCCCTTTTTTTGCACCTTAAGCCCTTAGACCCTGGGAAAAGTGGTGGCACCAGATTTGGAAGCTTCGTTTTGTTTCCAGATGGTCCAGATGCCCTTTGTGTATTTGGCCTCGGTTTTTTGAAGAGTTGGCCACATGTCATTGTGTGTCCTTTCACGCCCGTGCACTTGTGAACCTTGGTAAATTGGACCCCATGTACCCGCCCATTGGGGTTTTCAGATTTGGTGGCATGATTCTTGACTGCTATTGGGTTGGATCTTTAGACTTAAACTTTTGGGGAAATCAAGAAGTTTTCCATGAAACCCCCCAAGAGTTGAACTTTTTGCAGGGGGGTAAACAGCCCAGGATTTTGGTTCGAGGTTCGCCCAAACTGGGCCAAATGCTGGCAGGATCCCGTGCATCTAGCAGAGCTCAGGCATTCGCGGGCACCTGAGATGGGCTTTTTTCACTTTCCGGGGGGCTTGCTCTAATATTGGAGGACATCGTATTTCGTTTTGGTTTCCTCTTGCTTTCATTTAAACCGCTCCAATTCTCATTTGAATGGATTGGAACAAAACAGTCCGAACTGTTGATTTAATGAACAGCTCGGACTGTTTTGTTCCAATCCACTCAAGTGAGTATTGGAGCGGTTTGAACGAAGGCAAGAGGAAACCAAAGGGATCAAATATCTATAATATGACTGCAGCAATTGCTCTGCAGTTGTTCGTTTCCCTGTGAGAATCGGCTCATTTTGGCGAGGTTCACAAAGCCCTTGGGGCTTCATTTCTCCACCACCCCTACAAACTGAATGTGTAAAACACAAAGAGTTCTTCTACACTTCTTGCTAGTCGCATTTTTGTAATTAGATGGTTCGGGATAGTTTCCATAAGTTCCTAGTGGTCCCCGGGCCCAAAAGACAAACAAGCCCATGCAGCCAATGATTGCTGCTTTTGAGGGTTCGCGAAATATGGCCCATCATCTAGAATGATTACTTTGAATTGGGAACAAAAGCTGAGGTAGAAAATGAAACACATGGCCCTGTTGCGCGAAACACCCAAATCTGAACTTAGGGCGGGGGGGGAACAACAACGAGCTTTCATTGGCAGGGCTTCGGAGTGACAGATAAAACGAGGACAACTTCTCTCAAAGTACTTGGAGAAGCACTCCGACCTTTGGGCCTACAAGTCTTCCAGCCCCCATCCAGAATCCAGGGTAGAGCCGGTTGAGCTGCCGCAAATCCGCCCCTCAAGGCACCACCTTTGTGCGGTCTTCAGGCATTGAAATTCATACCAAGATGATGCATCAAGAGTAGATCATCCGAAATTCATCCTATTTGCTCATTTTGTGCTTTGCTCTCTTTTGTCAGGTCTAAGCATGCCCAAAATGTGTTTTGCACATATTTCTGGACCAATGACCAAGAAAGCGACGTTACAACACGAGTGGTTATCAGAGTGACAATGCTATGAGTGTTGCAAACACATAAGTGCCATTCGCTTTCGGTGCTTGGATCTTCCCTAATTGTGGCCGGTGCTTACATGCGCAGCTGCAGTTTGGCTGTCAATCAGTGATAATACGACAGTTATTTTTGCATTCCTTAATCATAGCAACAGCATTTGCGGTTGTGCGACACAGAAGTCACCGCATGCTCGTAGCTCTAAACTGTTTGTGGATTTGCCTTGCATTTAGGCCAGGCTAGTTTGCTGACTGAAAACAACGGCACAAGCAGTGGCATCCGCGGAATGTCTGTTGTCTCCTTTGAATATTGAAGTTCGGGGAAGCACAATGTTGTGTCAATGCAGCTTGTCCCGTCTACGGGCTGCTTGTGCCTTTATAAATACATACACATATAGTACATAAAGCATTGTGTGGGAAGAAAGCAACTCCACGAAAGTCAGCCGCTATGATATTTTTGCATTCGTTTGCCTTGCGTGTCAAACTGTTTCAATTGTCCGACGAGTTGTCCCATGTTTCCATGGTCACGCAACCTGTAGTTGGGGGGTGAGCGACCAATGGGAGGTGAACAGCAAAAGTGCTACTGCAAAGCATTGGATTCTTGGGAGGGTACCATGCTCCCGAAACATCTGGATACATCTCGCGACAAGTCTCCATTTGATTTCTCAGACTTGAACCTAGGGGCCTTTATGTGATTCATGTCCTTGGGGATTGAAGCGAAGCTTGTTGCCAAGTTATTGGAACTGGGGGAGGGGGGGCGGGCTCCTTGGAATTCCGTTTCTGGCTCTCCAGTTTCCTCATTTTTTGGGGGAAGACTAGAAACAATTGGAATTTGGGACCCGCCACCCCCTCCACCACCCCTCCCTGTCAAGGTAGAGAGAAGTGGCTTCCCTTATCCAGTTTCTGAGAGCCAGCTAGCAGCTAGTTCTCTTTTATTTGCTGAACTGAATATGTGTTTTTTGATTTTCTCGTCTTGGTTTTCAAGGGAATCGATCACTACTGGATTTGGTGTTTGTTCTATTAAGCTTAAGCAAGAGGACCTTGCCAAGGCACAGTGAATTGGTAGAGATTTACTCTCCAGATTAGCATCAATCCCCTAAATATCCCTCCACTAGAATGTCCTGAAGCTCCTTCCGGCGCACCCCCTCCTCCTCGGGTATGTGAATTGTAGGATTATTTCAGAGGAACCTCTTGACATCAATCCGCAGTTAGCATTGCAAGTGACCCCTGCTCGCTGAGGTTGCGCAACTTGTGGCAGAATTACAACAGCCGCTTCGACTACCCTGTCCAGATCTTTCATGATGGGTACACTCCTCAGGCATTTGATATGTGGTTCAAGCAAAGCTGGATTCGGATATTTCATTGTGAGTCTGCTGTGAGTCTTTTTTGGGCTTCCAACTTATCCCAGATCTGGAAGTGCAGACTTTGCTTTATCCTTCCATGAGAGTCTTCAACAGTGGCCAAGGGTCATACGTGGTGGGAGAAGGTTGCAATGCTTCACTGGGGTGGTATCCTTTTGACCTACCACTCAAGGGGTGACGGTAAGATGAAGGTAAAATATCGAGGCAAGCTAGTGGACAAGAGAGGTGACCCCTGAAACGAGGGGGCAAACCGGATGCTCCAATCTTTGCGCTTGTGCTGTGGGTTCATGTGGTTGCATTCTGGGTGGCTTACGAATTTACTTTCGGGACTCTATGGCTTGCCTTCTTACCAGCACGGGGAGTTTGAGAGTGTCACTGCAATGGACTGCAGGATCTACTTACCCGATGTGGGTTGAACAACCAAGTATACCCATGAATCTCCGGCTGGGAGAGGCATGGATCGGGTTTTTTGGTGCAGCCCCCATAAAGAATCAAAGAGCACGATTTCAGAGGGACGTCATATTAGGGAAGTGCCCTAATGCTGACCCCATAACCAACCCTTTTCTTAGGGGAAGGTTCCCCTCCAGTGATGCTTCCCCATGCGTTCGCCGGCCCGCCATTTTTTTCAGATCCCCTGTGACCCAAATTGCTCAGTTTTTAGCAGTCGCGCCGTGCATTCGACTTCTGTCCCGGTGTTTTCGAGTTTTCTGCGTCCGCCAACGTCTTCTGTCTACACTTTGCCAACGGCGAAGGGCAGGCGGCGCAGCACGTGCACCACACCGAGCTTGGGGGACGGAATTCATGGTCCAATCTCTGGTTGAACACTGCCGTGAAGGAAGCCGGCGGAAAGCAAGATCCATCAAGCAGCCGATCAAAATCCGGCATAGTCCCCCCGTACCCGAACCGACTTGGACATTCAACCCACTTCGTAAGTAGGCTGTAACCATGGTTGTAAGAGGCAGCAACCCCAACCTATTAAATGTTTAAAACCATGGCTGTAAGCTACCATCACAACTATTAAAAGGTCTAGAAAACGGTTTCGCCTTTGGTAGATCTCGCCGGTTTTCTAGAAATGGCATTGAACAAGACCCTGGCGGGGGAGAATTCCAGAGCCGGCCTCTCGCAAATCGGATCAAGAGGGAGAGGTAGGCGCTCTTCGCTTCCGCTGGCAAACCGTCCGCTTCGGTGCCGGGAGCCAAAGAATCCGGACGGGGCATTGGTGGGGGGGGGGGTTCCTGCAAGAACTTCCATTCAAATGAATGATGTTGAATACTAATCAGCCCTTATTAATGGGAGGATGTTTTCGGTATTAGTGGGAAATCAGACCGCTTTTGGAGTGGAACATCCCCACATTAATAAACTGGATTTAAAAGGAATCTATCACTGCTGGAAGTATTTGTTTTCCAGGGCACTTGTGCAAATGGATGGTGCCCTTTCCGGGCCGGGAGCTTTTCTGAAGTGCGAACAAAGATCGGCGGCGCTTTTTTTGGCTCAGAAGTCTGGGGAAGTGTTGTGGTTCCGGTCCCCATGCCTTTGCTGAGGTTACTCTTGGTTGGCTTGAAGTGGTGGTTTGGGGATTTGGATTTGAAGCCCTGTCTCTTGTAGAGGGTAGATGGGAAACCACCCCCGGAACACCGCCAAACCACGAATCCAAACCACCAATCGAAGGGAAGCTGATTTTGCTGTGGCCCCGGGACGAAAGGACAAAGACAAAGGGGCAACTTGGACCCCCCAAATCAGCCCAAGACAGAGCCGGCCAAGAAAACGCGCGGCCCAGAGACAAAAACCAACCCGAGCAACGCTTCAAGTTTTACCAGCACCAACTTTCTCTTCCGAAATGGGGGGGGTTCAAACCCTTCTATTTGCTGAAATGAATATTTTTCCTTGGGGTCTCAGCCCAGCTAGGCTCCGGGGTGGTCCGGGGCGGGCCCTGAGGTAAGGTTCCACCAGGGTTCCACCAGGGTTCCACGAGGTTCTGCGAGGGCTGCGGGGTGGTGCGAGCACTAAAAACAGCACGGCATGCTGTTGGGGATATCACTTGAGCTTATTTGTTTTCCCCTGTTGGTTTTAAAAGGGAACCTATCACTACTGGACATGTTTATTTTTTCCAGGGGACTTATGCAAATGGAGGACCTTAGAGGACTTTTCACAGAAGGTTCTTAGGAGGGGGTCGTCCATTTTTCAGCAGCTCTCCAAATGTGCCACAATCAAAACCCGGGTAGATGAAGGTTAGTAAGGGACGATCCCAACCATAAATAGCTGCGGCCGCCTTCTTAATCCTGTACGTGGTTCTGGGTAGACCATTTTAGTACCGATCGATTTTGGTTGCGACTCAAATGACCTTCGGGGGGTCCATGAAGGGTGCCTGTTCACAACCCCCGGGCTCGAGAAAATCGGAGTCTTCGGACACGAAAAGAATCCGAGGAAGTCTCCGGGTTTTGTGGTGAAATGGAGGCGTCCAAAGGCGGCCATCTTTTTTTCAGACAAGTGTTTTGCTGGCTTGTTGGATGGGGCAAAACAAAGAACAGGGTTCCCCATATATGTCCTTGGTCTTAAACATCACCCGTTGGCCCAATCTAAAGTGAGAATCTGGTGGCATAGTGTTTAAACTGTTTCTCGAAATGGCATGCCACCCCCAGGGAAACAAACCTGAACCCAAGACTTAGGGGACCAATTTCTATTTTGAGAAGCACACGGAACGCTGTCGTCAGGCCCGTGTTTGATCCTATTATACGTTGGCAAAGGGCCCAACCAAGTCCAAGCCGACTCCAAATGGGTCTGTCGTTTTTGAGGGTGCCTTTTTGTCGTGGTTCTAAAGGACAACCAAGAGGATCCCCCCCCCTCCCCCATTTTGTGGGGTCCCAAATCAAACTGACACACTCGTTATACTATACCTTATGTGTCCGGGAAAACTTTGGAGATCCAGCTTTCCCAGGCGTGCCTTACGGAACCTCGAGGGAGCTTCGGACGTTTGTGGCTAGGGTTCTTATAGGACACACCAACGTTGAGATTGTTCAACGGCGCACAGTTGGACCCGGGACAACCGCAAAAAATGCGTCCTACTCGTGGTTGGTGGGTGGAGCTAGTAGGCATGCAATGGCCTTTCTAGTCCACTTTGAGAAAAGGGTCGCTCATGAGAGGACAGACCGAAACAACCAAAAAGCGCGTCCAGTTTTGGTTGATCCCCAATTTGCGGGGGGGGGGGGGCACCCATGGGGCCTTGGCCGAGCCGATGCATTTGCTGCACAAGGCGAGGTCCCCCCCACAAGGCCTGAAGACCTGCGCGTGCCAAGCTTTCAGCGACAGGTCGCAAGCTTTGATCATGGAGGGTGCGGAGCAGGAATACGCCGGAGCCAGAGCGGTTTTCCGCAACGCGAAGATTTGTGCTGCGAGGTGAGTTCTTTTCTTTTTTGGGGCCTTTAAGTTAAAGTCAAGGAAAGTGTTGTCCGTTGAAATGACACCCAGGGGATTCTGCACCAGATGTACATACACTTGGATCCCCGTCTTTCGTTTCTGAACGAGTGGTGCCCCCCTTAGTGACAGGTTTTCATTGGAGCTCCTCAGACCTTCGCAGCCCAGAGCTGAACACCCGTGTTCAACATCACCTGTGCGCCCCAAGGTAAGCTTCCTTTGGAGGTGATGAGCGTTTTTTTTTTTTTTTTTCTTTTTTCCCCACATCTTTGTGTGGGGTTCTTACTTTTTCCGCTCGTCGTCCGCGCGCCGCGTCTCCTCCTCCTCCTCCTCCCGCTCGTCTCCGTCTCACTCACTCACTCACTCTCACTCACTCAACTCACACTCACTCAACTCACACTCACTCACTCACACTCGCTCACTCACTCACTCACTCAGTCACTCACACTCACTCACACTCACTCACTCACACTCACTCACACTCACTCACTCACACTCACTCACACTCACTCACTCACGCTCACTCACACTCACTCACTCACGCTCACTCACACTCACTCACTCACACTCACTCTCATTCACTCTCGCTCACTCACTCACTCACTCACACTCACTCACTCACACTCACTAGAGCTCCCTGGAATTCAAAAGGCCTTTTCAGAAACGGCCGTTTGTCGAAGAGCCATTTGTGGCAAGAATGCATGTTTTCACTGGTTCCGAAGAGCCATTTCTGGATTCCCATGTTGGCCAATAAGTAAGACCACATTTCTGGCTACCATGTTGGCCAATAAGCAAGACCCCCCCCACACAAAGCTGGGAATCATATAGGCCCCAAGCTCACATTAGCCAAGTCAGAATTTGACTCCCTGAACTTCCAAATTCCTTTGACTGGCTGTTTGTCGAAGGACCTAAAAAAGAAAAAACACCCGTTTTCAGTAGCTTTGGACAACCATTTGCGGAGCTCGATGTTAGCCAATAAGCTACCGCGGCCGTAGTCCAGCCATCACGCAAGCCCGTGTTCAAGCTAGGCTCGTTTGGAATCGCCTTTTGTCTTTGAAAAGGTCGCGCAGCTCTGTAGACTTCAGCTCCGCCACTTTAACTTGCATGCCTTTCAGGCTGAGGTGGCATTCGGCAGGATGTCCACGGTTTGTCCACTTCCCTAAATGGATGTTCCACTCCCAGAAATGGCTTTTCCACGCCCACAAATGGCTCTTCCACGCTTTGTCCACGCTTTGTCCACGCTCCAGCTGCTCCGATGCTGTAAGACGCCCATTGCGCCAACACGCGCACGTAAGAGCGAGCAAGCTCACATAACACACAAGGCTCCTGGCTGCCGGGCCATGACAACAGCCATTTCGGAAAATGCCGCTCGACGAATTTTAAACAGACGTTTGTAAGGACCCTAAAATGGTCCAGCGTTTCCTTAGAATGGTCGAGGGTACCTAGGCCTTTTCAGACATGGGCGAGGACGCCCAGGGTTTGTAAAAATGTAGTTTGCCTTGCTGAAAAGCTCTCAGAGCTATTGGCCAAGAC